AATTAACATTTGGTATGACCATACCATTTCAACAACGGCTGTCAATGATAAAAGTAATTTTGCTAACATCATGTAAGGTAAACTGTACTCGGGCAATAACTGAATATTTAGCAACCGGGTCATTTTCACCTAACTGCATCATACTCTGAATAAATTAGGGCTCATGCTCTAACAGCAAAATATAACACTATGTTTTGCCTATTGGAGTGGTCCCCTGACAGTTTTCGTCTTGCTTAATGAACCCACCAAGCAATTATTGTAAGGATAATGTTTTGAAACTCCGAAGAACAGAACGGTGAATACGAGACAATGTTCTTAACGTGGTCAAACCACACTATGCTGCAGGTTCAGACATTCATACTAAAAGAACTAATAGGAAAAATAACATCGCATGAGATGTTTCAGTGTCTTCATCCATCCAGCCGTATACGGGTCAACTAGTGATCAGTTTCACTTATGTACATATGTTTTTTTTCAGGTGAACAACACTTCCAAATTATTCAGTACATTTAAGAGTGTACTGTGATGGTTCACGTTTCTCAGTTACTAGAAAGATTCAGTTCTCTTACGGCTTTCCATCTTAACCTGATATAATACTGCTGGTTATTCTGACTCCAACCTAAATAATCACCTTATGACCAACCGTAACTCGAAAAGCTAAACTTATCACTTTCGTTCGAGAGATTAAAGATCGATTTCAGTATACAAACTATGGGGGATACACACTAAACCAAAATAGTCCCGTATCACTACTCTTTTTTCTCTCAATTATCACCTAACCACAACAATTCTCTTGCTTCAGATGTTAGATACAAACAAACTGATGTAGACCAATTCAGCGAAACATAAGTGACCCGTTGATTTTACATAATTTCCCGTGAAGAGATCTCATTATAAAGTTTTATGGTTTGTTCCGGGTTATGTTGGTTTCATACTTATTGCATGCCCTTTGCAAGGGTAAACAGCCACGGGAATATTCATAAGCTTTTCTCATACATGACAACTAAGCTTTTACAAATGATACTGAACTCTCTAGCACCCTGAGAGAGGTTATAGCGAATTATTTTAACATATCATATTTGTTTGGAAGAACGCAGTTATCAGAAGAAAACTGAAGGAAAATTTACAAACGCGTTCTTGGTTAACCGGGATGCAATAATTTTTAAAAATCTGATTGTGGTTTTCTAGCCTAAATTGTCGATTACAAGTGCAATGTTAACTAGTGTCTCAATCAACATTTCAGTTAAAACGCCGGGAAGGAGGTCGGGACTCTCGGTCACGAATTTCTTTCTGTTTCAGGATGCTTTCGACTCTGAAATAATGGTTAATAAGCGAATTACACATCTAGTTATCCAACTGAGAGCTCTTGAATGAAGAATTGAAAGAATTCATCTAGAATGGTAGTGTTGACCTTAATGTACTCTTCTTGAGCCACATTGTTTTTGTAGGGTATGGTATAATTATATTGATGATGCCTGTCAACTGTCATGTGCATTGAAAGATAGTGTATTATTATAAGATTCATTTTATTGTTATATTAAGAAAATTGACTTCAAGTTATATGCTCGTACCACTTACTATAGAAATTCTACAATACCCTATTTAGCCCGTACTTTACGTGACGAAGACTCTGTTAGACGTGAAACTTATAAGTTACTATGTAATTAGCAAAGTGAATCGACCCTTTCATCGCTCATCTTTCTGTATTTTATGGTGTCACACTTTCTATCGTTTAATTATTACTCTGCTATTTTATTTTAGTTGGTATTACTATTATTACTACAATTTTGTACTTTATGCATATTTTTCTCCGTATGACATACAGTATGTTGCTATGTAGCTGCTATAACAATCATTTTATTACTATTATGTAATGTCTATTTTTAATTTTTTTGTCGTTTTTGAGTAAATTAGATGCAATATTGTACTGAATGCTGAAAATTCCTTGCTGTATCATTAGTACTTTTTTGGAATAAAGCAAATTATTATTATTAAGCTTTATTTACTTTCCCAAGTATCTGTAATCCATCCAACGAATACTTGGGTCTTTTTGTTAATGCGAAGTCAATATCTCTATATCTCTTGATGTGATCCATTGAATCGCTAGTTATCAGATTTTTCCCACAAAATAAAGACAAAATGACAGCAGCCGTAAATCATGTAATTTAAACAATATGAATTGATGATGCCTGTAAACTGGCGTCCTACATGTATAAAAATGAGAATACATATTATTATTATTAAAATCTGATAAATCACCTCCCAGTTGGTCCCAGCCCTACAATTAATAAAACAATACTGTTTTTTAAATTCCTAAGCTGTGTGTTCTGATTATTTGGAAGTTATGATTTTGGGGAAACGTGTGCTGAAATTTAGGCCTCTCACTCTATTACGTCATGTTATACTTCAGAACACATTAGGATAAATACTAAAGTGTTGCATATGTAAATCCTCATTTGTTTCACATCCCACCGATTAAAGTTGGGAAATTAAGGTCACGCTTCTTAACCGTACTGCTGAATGAAAAATGGCTGGGTGAGGAAGAGGTTGTAAAAAGGGACTAAACCTAGGGTTTTCATTTTATAGTGAAACTATTCACTGCAGGTGGTGGCATTCTTCGGCGTGAAAGTTCATCACCCAACACCAACAAGTTTCTTTCAGTACAATTAGTTCCTTCTATAAACTAATGCACACTCCAAGGAATTGCACTAAAAGAAACTGGGTTGAGGCTAGATTATTCACCTGGCGGTCGGTTAGGTTTTCACGAACCTTACCAAAGCGTTTGTCAATGTAGTTGAAGATTGAACGATCAATTCATCGTTGTTTGCTCAAAACCAACTTCCCCAATTTTCGCGGAGGCATCAATAGGACAGTCATCGCCTCATCGGTCGCTGTTCATAAAGAAGGTTAAAAAACCGTCGGAAGTAATATTGCGATTTATTATTGTAATATTTGTTCACAGACCTTAGTCATACGTCACTTATATGTTGGTGTAACAATAAAGAATCCTCGAGTCAACAATTGGCGTTTTGGTTTTTTCGTCCGTTATTACTAAGCTTTTCTGAGAAGCTTCAAGGAACAGCGTGGGCCCGAGCGTATCAAGAGCTGGGCATTAACGGTTTACGAGACGTGGCTGACAGCGTTATTTAAAACACTTCATTTGAGTCTCCTCAGTAAGTGTTTCCGGCCTTGATGACCCAATATTAAAGTCGAGAGTAATGGAATACTGTCTCAGTTGAAGTCCGTTTCTGTTATCAAAATTCAAGGATGGTCGCTATTGCGACTATACACCACAGATTTATCTGAAATTACACGCTGTTATTATTGAATGATACTAAGTTTTGTAGAATTGTTCATGATAAAGCAGATACATCGTGTCTGAAACGGTTCTCGACGAATAGCTGAATAATTTGAGTTTACAAACTGATTCCAGGAATGGTGCAGTAATTGGTTTAGTTACGGGTTATAACTAGTCGAGTTTCTTGAGATAGACAAGACTTCTTGCTGCAAAGCAGAGAAAGATCATAGGGATTTTTTCCACTGCACATTAAAAACTGGTTCGTGTTTTATTATAGAAAGGCCTTCTGAATTCATATGTGTTTCTCAAGGTTTGTAAAAGTTCAAATGAGAAGACGCTTTGGTTACTAGTACTGAGTACTCTATACATGCTTAAGTCCTGAACAGAGCATTCAATTTTTACGCAACAGGATTTCGACTCAGAAGATATGTTTTTTATATAGTAGGCGTGAAGATGATCTTATTATTGCTAACCATGTACCAAAGTGGTGACATCTCCTCCCTTCCATTATAACGCGGAGATAATAATAATAGTTTGGTATTCTAAGAAGTCCTATAGGTAGATATCCTTCTGAGATAGGGCCCCATTCAGATTCTAACCTGGGGTGGGGAACAACGCGAAGTTTTAACTGGTTTGTATGAAGTTCTCCAAAAATAGAACAAGCTACCCATAGGCCAGCATATTAAGCCACCTGAGACGAAATTATCTGCATCATAAGCTAGGTGTATAATTCACTAGAACTGTTGTGAAATGTATTGAAAATCAGTTCCCGAAGACCAGTTATGAATTCACCAAGGTTGGTGTGTTTGCTAATACTAATAATTTTTTAAATTCCCTTACATTTCCAGTGGAAAATAGGGTTTCAGCCTAGAGGCTTAGAATTTATGTAACAGTGATGATTGTTTTTACAGGATGGGGTTGTCGGTCTCATGCCCAACCTTCACCTTTACCAGTCTTACTACTGGCTTAGGTATGTCAGGGATTGTGTCGAGGGGAGATTGAACCCTGAACCATCTGCGTGTTCGGCGAGCACTCTACCACTGTGCCGCTGACGCACAATGGTCATAACAGGATTATGACAGATAGAACAATTGTAACGTGCCTAATGACATGGCTCAGTGTCTTGACTATGATCCCAGAAACTAATTCATCACATCTCCAAACTTGCCACATTACAAGTCACTAAGGTCTGCTGATCTGACGTGATTCTTCACCACCTTTGTTTTCAATACTACCGGAAACCTACAGTTCAAGAATCATCAGTTGAATAATCTATATACAGCCATCGGAGTACGGAAGTATTTGCTTTGGTAATCTGCTCAACTGAACAAAGCTCGCAGTCAAAAATCAGACGGACACTATTCTGGATTCTTCATGGCTGGATGTTAACGTTTACCAGTGAAGATGTGTTTCTTTCTGAGAGCCTTTTGATTTAAATAGTATATTGTGTAAAGTCTTTATATACATAACCTTGCAAAACTATGCTAGGTGAGAAACGGAATCAGCCAAAAAAGGACATTTGAGGCTAAGAAATTCCTGCCGAGGAAGTAACCCAAAAACCAACATAATTGGTACTATGTCGTGATAGGAACATTGGATACTGGATATTGGACACTTTAATTTTGGTCCCACTTTTTGATGTTACTCTGATCATTCGCTGGTTAGGTTATGCACAGGGGCTAGAAACACTTGAAAACTGGTGATGATGAAGGCCATCTTAATAGCTGCGATTTTGTTGTCTTTCTTCCTGGGTTTGAGCAGATGTGATTCAGAACTGGATGATGATTCTTCCATCAGGACGATGCTGCAATTACGTGATAGTGTGCAGTTTTCTTATTCGATATCTAATATGTTTTTGGATCTTATTCGTGGTCAAAAACCACCAACAGCTGTTTTTGAAAGTCTGATTGATATTCAAAGTACGTTTCACTATGATAACTAACTATCATTGGCTTTACAGCGTCGCAGCGTTCGAGGCTAACATATAGAAATGTTGAGCCAGTAAGTTCTGTTTTATTCCACAAAAATTTAAGTTTTCATGAGAAAATTCACTTAGCTGCAGGTTTTATAAGATCCCCTTAGATTATGAGACTGGTCACTGTAAAGTCGCCACTTTTATTGCCCTTACCTTATACTAGGAGTATTTCCGTGTAGATCGTATAGACCACTTTCGGATTACCATATGCTTGTCTGCTGTGATGAAGTCGTTGCGCAACTAACCAACCCATTCAGATATAAATATTATATTAAGTAAACGGGATCTATCCGCCTATTTTGTTCAAGGTAAATTTGTGCTCACCCAACTCTGCATTCACAACATATTAGCACGAATATTACTGAACGTGACTTTAGTTTGGTTTATTTGTAATGTAAAAATGGTAGTTTACTGTACTAAAGACTTATTCTCTGTAGGGTAGATGTATTAATTTAGTTGAATTTTTGATTTTCCCGTCGATTGATTGAACCGAAGTACTCGGTCTCAGGTTGATATTTCGGCTTCTCGTGGCCCAAGTGGTCTAGTGGATAGCGCTTTGGCGTTTGAAACTGTGGGCACTGGGTCCGAGCCTCGGTGGGAACATCATCACTCACTGAGAAGCGCAGGCACATCTAGCTGACGGGTCCCGAATAGGACGAAATGTGCATCCTGGATTCCACTGCTAATCACCATCCATCAATTAGATGTGTTAAGTTGGTGAAAGTATACATGGACTACATGTTTTATTTTGATTCCTTTTAGCGAATAGGTTTTAACTTTAGGCCTATAAATTGATTGTGCTGGCTTTATATTCACTGGCTAATATCTGCTTTCATCTAGAGTTGCATTGGCGTGTCCTACTGGCATTCGATCCAGGATATGTGTACACTATATTCAGTCAGCCTACTGCATTCTTAACTAAAGATATAAATATTTCCCTAACGTTCTTATCAGTATTTATATTTGTATCACTTTTTTGAATGATATTTGGTGGTTTTTCCCTTGTCAGGTGGTGACAACATACTTGGGATACGGTCTGTGTCTCGTGTTTGGTCTACTGTTCGCTATTTTGATGCCTATCGTTGGGTTGATTTTTTGTTGTGCTCGGTGTTGCGGCAAATGTGGGGGTCGCGTGAAATTTGTGGATGCTAGACATGACCCGTGCAAACGTGTTGTATACACAATTTGCTTGGTTCTGATTGTGACATTTCAGCTGTAAGTCAAATTTAATTGATGCAACTTGCAATACTATAGATATACACTGCTGTAGGTTCTGTCCAATGATTTACAAAAGCGGTATATTGGTTCAGTACCTATTAATTTTGGCAGTACTTAAAAGAGCATGGGTATGATAAATTGTGATATTTAAGTTAGCACAAGTGATTTAATTAAATAAACTTTGTTGGCGGTAGACTGTCTGTCACAATAACAGTGGCTTTCTTGTCGTCATGTCAAATTAAGAGGATTTATCCAAACCAGCTAATCTCTCCAGCTGCTCACGAGAGATTTCTGTATGATCGACTGCCCATTAATTATCTTTGCATTTCTGCTTATGCGGTGTATATTTTCCACTAGTAATTTTCATTTGCACCTTGTTGTGGAGTAGCTCGCTTATCCCAATGACCCAACGAGCTACACTAATTCAAACAACCGTTTCATCAGTCCCTGTCATGTTGCAAGGGCTGCTTGAATGCTGTTCATGCCAAAAGCAGTTCTATTCGTAGTGTAAGTTACTCACTATGTTTGAGGTCTAAGGGCGAAGTCGTGCTGTTAGCGGATAGGGGCATAACAGTAGCATGGTATTTCCCTTGGACACCCAGAAGCCTGCTATCCTGCAACCCCGTCAGTAATGATAAGGATAAACAAAATATCTGACAACCAATGAGGTTGTATAATCGCATCACTCATGATGGATGTGTCGCGCATGCCTAACCACCGGTGTCGACATGCTAGATGGTGTAGGTCGGGGTTGGAGAAGAATAAGTTTTGATCAAACTGTGGTGTAATGATCTATTTCTCTGATGTTCTAAGTCATGTAGATAAGTATAGGTTGTCTGCCAGGTGCACTCAATGTCAAGAAACAATGTCTAGAGAATGTTGGAGACAAGACTCAAAATCTTTCTTAATGGTTCAGATGTATTCACTCCCTATCCACCAAATTCATTATTTTCCGCCGAATTGTTCCTTCTAAACATTTTTGTCTATTGCAGCGCTTTCATGCAAAGTTCCATTGATAATTGAATTCACGTCAGTTTATATATATATATATATATATATGCACATATTTTCTATTTCAAAGGGCTGCTGTTGTTTTGGTTTTCATCAATCATTACCTATTTCATGAAGCCCTGGTTAACAAAGATCCACGCATTGGCGCTGTCAGCCAAATTAACTTGAGCCTTGTTGAATTTGAAGGAGCTTTGAGAGATATGGTACAGGTTCGTCTAACATGCGAATATAATCCTAATGTTATTGTTTTTTTTCCATAAGGTTATTGTTGTTGGTCTTCCAAGACGAAATGTAAATTCAGTTATTTCCATTCAACTGTATTCTCTTCAAGAGCATAATCAATCCTAACTTTGAGTATAATATGGTTTCAGTGGTTAAATCCTCCAATTCATCTTAGTAATTTATAACAGTGTAATTTAAAACGAACTCGTTCCTATGTAGACACTAGAATTGTAAAACAAAATTTAGGAAAAAGGGACATTAATTGGGTAAAAGCTGAATAAACAAGACCAAACATGTCGATCGTTACTTTACCACTTTCAGAAGTGGTAGAAAGAACAGAATTGTAACTCGTTCACGACCTATTTTTATTCTGAGCCGTATCTTGGCAATCACTGAAGTCATTAAGTTGGATAATATCTTTCCGTATCATGTTTTGATTACCTCTCTACTATGTCCAGTGTTCTAGCACTGTCAAACATTCAACAGTATGAAGACAACTGGAGGAGTATTCTTAGTCATCGGAGCCGGTAATCTGTAGCGTGTCCAAACATTACTAATGTAGGATTGCCTTTGGCTTGAAAGAATCGTAACAGCCTCAAGATGCTTCTGCCTTCACCTCATACGTGCGTCTTGTGCACGGGGCCTCTTCCTTGCACGTACATTTGATAACATGTATAGGAGCTGTTATGCTACGGATTTTGCAAGGAATGTGCAGAAACAATGTTTATCTGCGGGAGTTCTCCTAAATCACAAGCGACCTTATCCACTGTCTCCACAACACATTCTGAGTTCTATATTAATTTGTTTTGAAGTATTTCACAATAAAAGTATTATTTACATTAAATAATACTGTCTGTCTGTTTTCGACATAGAACTTTGCACAAATGTGCGGAAGTTCAAGTCGCCACATTCCGTGTTGCACGCGAAGCAAGCAAGAGAAGAAAGTACAAGAAAAGCATAATAGAAACAGTGAGCAGAGGTGTGAGACAAAGGAGTAATAAAGAAATACAAAACAGTTTTATTGAAGATCATAAGTCACAGGGAGTGGATGCATCTGCGCCACTGAGAACGATTTTGAGCCATGTCACCAATTGTTTCCAACCATAGATTTTTACCGTCCCGAGGACCCCAGCCTGGAAGTCTACACCTTTCTACGTGGCTTAGACCAACTGTTGTGGATTTCATTGACTGATGCCAAGTTTTTGTTTGACCGCCGCTAGCATTCTTCCAGCCTGACCCTGTATCCGCTAACATTGCTCGTCGAGGGAGGCGATGACTTGGCATACGTAACACATGTCCTAACCATACTATGAAAGTGCAGGCTGCCACCATATCTAACTTTTGCACATATATATTGTTCGCCTTTACTCTGTAGATCAGTGTAACTATTTTATGTTTAACTGGAGTAGTAAATACAACCATCTCGTTTAAGTCAAGCTACATAGGGCAACATTTCTACTGACCAAGGGAAGGTAAGTGAAATCTGGCATAGCGTGATCAGAACTCTGACAGTTACTGCAAAAGGAGCGACTGTCCTAAATGCAATTACGCAGTCGGTAGCTGATAGCTACATGATTTATTTTAGTTCATGTTTAAATGAGTGAGGTAGGACCTCAAGTAACAAGGCGACGGAACTTCGCGTGTACTAGGAATAAGTGTTCTTCGTGAAGCTGCAGAAAACGGTATGTTTGGCATCTACAACCATATATACCCTATAGACAATCTAAGGGACTTTCTTATGACCTTAGATACATGACCTGTGCCCAATGACATCTGCAAGGCGCCGATGACTGAATTCATGAAGCTGATGGTAAAACTCACTTTCGATTTCATCTTGGTTACAGTTCTTTAGTGCTCACACTGTGATGATGATGGAAGGTTACGGCTTTTTTGGGTAGTAGCACCTTATTGTGACTTAATCTTACAGTACAATAGCACACGAGTAGGTAGGTAGGATTTATGTGGTATCAGTTATATCATCTAGTGGGATATCGACACCAGCTCTACCGAACACCGATAACACAGTCCCCAGATAATCATACATGAGAAGTGTTGTTTAAGCTGACTGGTGGAAAGGTTATTCGACGTTCTTCTCTGGGATGAAGAGTACTGTAGACTAGAGTTTCGGAAATGAAATCCACAACAGTTGGTCTAAGCCACGTAGAAAGGTGTAGACTTCCAGGCTGGGGTCCTCGGGACGGTAAAAATCTATGGTTGGAAACAATTGGTGACATGGCTCAAAATCGTTCTCAGTGGCGCAGATGCATCCACTCCCTGTGACTTATGATCTTCAGTGAAACTGTTTTGTATTTCTTTATTACTCCTTTGTCTCACACCTCTGCTCACTGTTTCTATTATGCTTTTCTTGTACTTTCTTCTCTTGCTTGCTTCGCGTGCTACACGGAATGTGGCGACTTGAACTTCCGCACATTTGTGCAAAGTTCTATGTCGAAAACAGACAGACAGAGTTTCGGAAAAAATATTGAGTCCCATTCTTGAATAGTAGATCGGATTTTAAACTGACTCAGCCACCTGTTGATGAATGTAGCTTATTTATCGACAATGCTGAAAATCTGTCCAATTCAATAGTGGAGTTTCAGTCAATATTATGGTGATCATTCAGACACTACTCTTAAATTTCTTCAACTTCATTCCTACGGTATTTCATAGGCTGCTTTGTAATACTTCCTCTTTCAGATTCCTGTGTCAATTAAAAGTCATGCTACGTGACACTTGATTAAGTTCTTTCTAGAATTAAAGTAAGGCTAAATGTAATAGTATTAATTGTAGTAGTCCCATTTTCTGGAGGCTATTATGAAAACCTTATCAACCCATTAAGTTATCCACAAGTGAATTGTTATTCTAGCGACTGGTGCTTTAAGAAGTTAAGTAAATTCTATGTTGTATGATCCCTTGGCGTAAACTAACATTTTCTCGCAAGATATATCTTGGGTTGTTACATTTAAGAGATATAGTAGGTCCGAATCGCCAGTTTTAAATTCTAGATTATGGACCATCGAGTGTGTTAAGTGTTGCAACATTATCTGACTTCCAAGTTAGGCGTAAAGTTTGAACTGAATACTCATTGTGTAAAAGTTGAGCGTAAACCAAAGTATGATATAAAGTGTGAAGTTGGAAACTGTATCTCACGGTGTTACTTTATATATATTCTAAATAAAGGCTGCTTATTATCAAATTAATTGTTTTTGATCTTGAAACTACTTATTTTCATTCTACAGATGGCAAAAAATACTTCATCAACAGATCTGGCTGAACAAAAAGAACGATTCATGAGAATAGTGGATGGTGAGTTGAATACATTCATAGATGATTTCATCAGTTTCCTTTTGGACATTTAATATGTTTAAGTTTTAGTTTACTTTTGATAATGGTAGTACGCAGAAAATTAAAAAGAAAGTTGCAATGCATCTAGTCAACATCCAACTAAACTTGTATTCTGTCTCCAACTAAAAGAGTTGTGGATGAATGTGGTTGAGTGCGTTACCGGATAGTTGATTATCACACCGATCGTTGGCATTTTCCCACTGTTGAAATTTGATGGTGAACGTTTCATCACTACTCATGGGGACGTCTTCAGCACTAAACTTCTTCTTATGATGGTAATCGAAGAAATAAATGGTTATTAATTGTCATGCTCCATCAAGTTGTTTTGAATTCCTAACTAGTGGGAATTACCATAGATATTGTAACATCGCATACACTTAGTTTCTTTTAAATGGCCTCAATACTTTTCAAGACTAACCCACTTTTGTTTGGTAGTTTAGTTTTCAATAAAAACCGAGTGTTGCTTAGAATAGGAGCTCTTGAATTTCCATGGTATTTACCTACTTCTATTCATTAACTAATCCCATATATTTTGAGTATCGTTTCTTACTTATTCAGTACTAGCGATTTTTGCACATGTATAAACATTTAGTTACGTATAAATTTCTACTTTATTTTTGAACAGATGGTCTAGTGAAGTTCCAGGATGATTTCTCCAAGTCCTCTGAAGTGCATGATGTGTCTAACGCAATATCAGAACTTCAAAAAAGTAAGAATACTTTTTTAATGTAATATATGTTTGGTAAGACTGTTCAGAATGACAATAACCATTAGTATCTTTCAAAACATGCCCTTGGTCACCACCAGCATTCCATTCTGTTTGTAAACGTACTATTTAGTATGACTTTATTTAACTTAGAGGTGTAATGAACTAATTTTCTACCGTTGATTTTGAGTACATAGGTGATAGAAACCTTTTAAGTGAGGACACATAACATTTTGAGTTTTCTAAACACTGTGTAGAGTTCAAATATGTTAAATGTGTACTTTATCCTCGTCAAATGTCAAGTGATGCTACACTTCTGGTATGTATTAATTCTACGTATAAAGTTACAAAGTGAAGTGGTCGAATGTATTATGACTTTTGTGAATCACCATTGTTAGAGAAAGTGTTTAAGCTAGAGAGGAATTGAAAGGCAAACTTTTTATCAGACTCACTTAAGATGGTGTAAATTGCTTGATATGGATTCTTTTGAATGTTGAGTATTAATGGTTGAAGATTTGATAAAAGGGGCTTACAGTAGTAAAGATGTATTCACCCATAATAATCCTCTAAATGCTGAGTATCTTCATTATAACCTTTTCCATATATCTTTTTAGTTCCATTTCTTTTCTGTATTCATGCTTTTTGGAAATGTGACAACTTAAACTTATGCATTTCTGTGCAAAGTTCTACATTCTTCAGTTGCTTACATTAGCCAGACGTATTTATTTGATGAAATGAATTTTTTGACACATTCTTTCCATTACACATGATAAACGGGAGGTCAGTAACCGAAAACATTGTTAGGTCATAGGATTTTAATTTCAACAAAGTTTACAAAATCGGCTTTTTCCGTCTCTGTGAAATGGTGAATACCGAATGAGGTCGGTCTTATTTGAGTATCTAAAGTTGCGTTTGAATGAATAGTAGATTAGTCAGTATTTTATCCACTAATATTGTCTAAATTCTACACCAAGAATTTCATGATGTCAATAATTGAATGACTTAATGTATGGTGAGAAGTGTAGGACATATTATCAGTGTACTCAGAATAAGAGTAATCAAAATTATTATAATGTAGTTTTGGAATTCTGGCAACCCTGTACCATCTTATATCTGTTTCCTTTCCTGTAATTTTATCTTATTACATTGCTAATCTGTTTCGTTGTAAAGTATTACAGTTAACCAGTAAACACTGCGGAATCCTAAATTGTCTTATCTGTCCTTATTGCTTACCTGATATTGTTACCTACCCTTCAGTTGACTATTTCATCCAATAATCAGCTATATGCTAATTTAGATTTCTAAAATCATATTCACAGTTAATTGAGAAAGTTGATGGTTATTATATGGTGTAATGTCCAAAATAAACTAAACATTAGATTTTACAAGTCAAGCAGGCTTGGTATAATCTTTCACTTTATAGAACTGTAATTGCGTTCTGTTTCTCACAGATAACTGTGGACGGAAATAAAAAGCGTATGACTGAAAAGAAACATGTTCAAAGGAATCTTTTAAAAAAATCTTCAAGTTTTTTAGAAGTAGCGGGAAAACAGACTTTTTGATGTTTTAGTCACTGACTTTTCATTGATTGCTATGCTGTATATCACGTGCATCAAAGAGGTCTGACCGTATCTGATATGTCGTTTTTACCACAAATGACCTGGTTAAGGCATAGGGCTGGTAGACTCCAGTTTTTCTTTTGATATCCTGTCTGGCAATGTTCAAAGCCTTTATTAGATAAGTCTTATTCACTGCCTTCTCAAAAGCAAAAGACTGGAGGCACTTGTCATCAAATTTGTGGACATTGAAGTCCACACATGGGAGTTGGAAGGCCCTAATTCCAGACGTGTGGAGCCTGTAACCTCTTGAATCTAAAAGGAACGGATGCCGTATAAACCAGTTGTGGTCAATGGCAACCGTGGAAACTCACTTCCTGAAGATTCTCTGCTGCATTGTGGATTAGACGTCAAATCGAAGTCTTGTTAAGTAGTGCGTTAAGATACTTACCTGCTCCAGTTTGGATTCTCGAACAGTATCTCGCCCCAAACATGAATAGTGAAAAATAAATTATTGGGAAGTGTACTGACCTGTTCTCTCTTCTAAATTATTTCGTTAATTATGGATTTAGTCATTTGATCCATTATCACTATATTTTTTATTTTTGTGAGTGAATCATTTTATTTTTACCGTCTGTACAGCTTTTAGTATCTTTACTTTTGTCAGCCTTTCACTGTTGTTGGAAATCTCAGTCTGTACATACCGTTTCAAGTTAGTAGAGCGATATATAGCGCAATTATTCTGAACCGCTTGTCGCGTCTAACGTTCGCACATTGATGCAAATCAGACCACAGGTAGGCGTGGTTACAACCCTAAAAAGTCTCAGACGCTCACACACAAGATTCGAGTGAAGTGATTAGAATATTTTCTTTATCTGCAAGACTTAATAATGTAGTTGATATTCGCTTTTCATGGTACCAGCTTCTTCATCAGCTGATGCTGATATCTAACGAAGCCCTATGGTTGAAGCATCATTTCTCGATTAGATCCCTATCAATAGTTGTTTGCGTACTGTGAGTCTAGAAGCTTATATTAGAGTAAGATTGGTGGCGATCAGAAACGTCATCCTCAACAGGTTGACATATTCGGATCGATTACATGTGCTGCTACACTCGAATGGTTGACCGAGCTAGATTTAAGGCAGACCAGTGGAGGCGAACAATGAATTCACTTTTCATCTCGTGTACCGTTCACTGTTTGTAGTCATGTATCTAAATGATTCCATTTCTGTTTAGTTTCACCTTAGATGTACTAATCGACTTTAGCGACTTAGGAATCGACTTGTTACTACGAAGCAGTCTTCATGGATTTCTAGTATGCAGCTGACATAGTTCATGTGGATGAAGACTGATGAACTACATTCTTTTTTCCAGCTTAAGCAGGCATGCGATTCGTTCGTATTATGTGTAAGGTCAGGCTGTATCGACTCTTAGTCTAAAGATAGGGAGTGAAGTGATTGGTGGTTTTGACAACACTTATTTGGGAATTAGCATCAAACCTAGTGAACTTATTCCTGACAAAATCTGAGTACGGATACGAAAGGCTCATGTAGCATTTTCCAAGTTACGTCATCTTTAGCTGTAGCTGGCCTGACGTGTGCACTTCGCAGCAGTTCACTCCTTCATCCTCTACTGCTGTTGAGGTGGAAGATATGTAGAGGCTTGTTGTGTTTGACAATAGGCTGTGTCAAGAGGGGAAGTCAGTTGGTGTTGTTGTGAAGCTACATCGATTAAGATAGAAGATATTCATGACAAGCTGTCGTTTTCCTCGTCGAGCAGTGACAAATACCATCGTGTTAGGCCATGAAAAGAGTTAGCGGTGGCCAAATCAAAACACTGTATCGGTCCATGAAGTCTTTGACTGTTGATGTGAGCTAGTCACACAGTTGTAAACTCTTGGGTGGAGTTCCCGAGACGTTAAGAACCACTGACTTGTGGCTGCTGGTAACATGTCTCAAAATCGTTCTGAATGGCGCAGATGCATCCACTATTCATGAACTGTTAGATTCATCTCATTATTCTCTAATTAGTTATGTCTTCTCCCTTCTCTCTCTCTCTCTCATAGTTCTATCTGATTTTTTATCTTCCTTTCTGTGCGTGGCAACTTAATTGCTGCACTTTTGTGCAAGTTTCCACGGCGAAAACTCAGCGTCTATTCATCTGTCGTACTATACTTTAGATTTGCCAAAGATTCGTAGATTTCAGTGCATGCACTGTATTTTCCTTTATCATGAGAACACTGAATTTTAGTATATTTCTTTAGCTGTTATACATATTACAATTTCAGATGCTTGAAGCTTTCTTTATGTCATGTAGATCAGTCATTGGATTGTATGCATATAGTGGATGTTCCTTACAAATAAGATAAGGTGAACTTCTCATGTTGTGTAAAACAAATATGATGACTATCTATGAAGCTACTCATTGTTTGATTGGTTTGATTGTAAAAACGATGACATGAGACGACTCGAAAATCAGTTTGAAATTTTTTTGTTTTCTTTCCTGTTTGTATGTTTCGTACATAGTGTGCTGTCAGTGAATTTTTTATTTTCAAACAAATTTGCTAATTTGTATGTTGGCTGGTTCACGGGGACTCTTTTATCCATGATTCGTACTTTATAAGTAATTCACCAATTACTCAAAACTTCAATTCAAGTATAATTCGCTGTGCTTGTATAATCAGTGTGTGTTAATTATTTTATCTAATGATCTTTTTATTCAAGCTGCAAGAAGTTTTATTCCTGGATCTGAAGCCATCTCACAAATTAACCACTTTAATAATTCACTTCATGAACTGACTGCTGAATTACCCACTATTCGTCAACGTCTCACTGACACGCTTAATATGGGATGCACTATTGATAAATTAATTGAATGTCAAGAATTGATGAAACTAGCTAACGACAAATTGAAAATTCGTCTTTCACCAGCTATGGTGAGTAGTTTTTCCATAAACTATTGTTATGGAATAGTATAATCGAAGTTCCTTCACTTTATTCAAGTGTGGAGATTGTAGCATATATATATATATATATAAGATTAAATAAGTGTTTTTCATTCATTTCATGATTTCTCAGGGTGGTGAATCTATTCATTCATGGGACAGAATAGATTGTATATGCATCCCAGCAATAACATTTTCTTGTATTCGCCTTAATGATCTGTTGTGGTGTGGTGTGTTCTTTTGGTAAAAATTTGTACATTGTATATAACGTGATATCTTCAATAAAAGTCTTAAATAGATGAGCGCATGGATAAAGTTTCAAAGAAGAGAAAGTAGAGGTGTCTCTTTACCACTATAGAGAGCATTAAATGAACAGAAAGAGACAGCAAACAAAAGCAACACATAGCAGAACATGGATAATTTGTGCAAATTAGGTTTTCAATGTAAGATTACTATGTGTTATCAGTATTGTTTGTAACTCCCCTAATAAATAATCCCCTGCTAGTTACAAATATCTAATTGTTTAGTTTCGATAAATCTGGTGTCTTCGTGTAGAGGTGCAGCTTCTGTACTGTGGAGTAGCGTGCTCAATTCAGAATTTTAAATGGTATACGTTAATTGGTGTACTTTGGTAATTCGTTGTAAAAAAATTACGAATCACTTGCATTCTCTTATTCTGTTGATTATTTCTGTATCTGTTTACAGTTTCCATAATTGGAATCCTTGAACAGTAACATTTTGATGCACTTGCAATTTGATTTCAAGAGATACAATATCCTAGTGATATTTTAAGCTGTATATCTGGTGATGGAGCCCCCATTATAGATAATTTAAAGGTTGGAAATTCCTCATTTTTAGAAGTGAGGAATGTCTTTGTTTAGCCGATAAAATTAAACTTCTGAATTGTGATGTTTAACTAACAAATTGCAGTCTTACTAATGTTTGGAGTGATGTAACCTAAAATCTTGTGCGTGATAATCTCGACTTATGCGAAAGTTTTGTTTATGCTTGTGTTTACATTACTTTTGTTGTTATTATTTTTCTGACTTTCCATTTTTACTCTTAACATTTGTGAATCAGAGGTCAGCTTGCCAATTTAAACAATGATAGATTGTGTAATAAGTTTTCAACATGTCGTGTATGACATCGGTTTTATGTATCGATATTGTTGTGATTGTTGTTGTTATCTCGTTAAAAAGCCACAATCATCCAATTATTTTTGTTTACAGTTCCAACCTGATGAAGTGGTTTCTTTATCTAATCAAATTCGACGTCACCTTCATGATGTAGATTCTCTGAGTGAAGTGAGTGCGGTTATTTTCTATTATTGATTTCAATCAGTTCATTATTTTATTATGTTTCGTATTTATAACCTGTCTTGTCAATCTATGAAGTTAATAACTGTTGCGTTTGGTTAACCCCCCGGGTTATGTAAAGTACTATCATTATATGTAAGAGATCATTCCACATTCTTTAATGAATTCCTATCATAAAATCCAGCTTTAAAGGTAACGTTTAATTATGTATGGATACACTCAGTGAATTCCACTCGAAATTAATTTGTTTGCCATTCGCCTAAATGGCTTTATAGAACATGTCGATATTCATGCGCCCTAAAAATCTCTACCTTCATATTCCTTTGTTTTAGCGTAAGATAATGTGAAATGGCATTTAAAGAAGCTGTCAATCTCACTCAAATAGGTCAGATGTCATAATTGTAGTGTGAAAAATAAGATTGACAAACCAAGCAAAATAGATGTGTTGTTAGTGTTCTTGAAGTCCTACACCAACAAATAAATAATGATTGTCTACTAAAATTCCTCCTTGTTAATCAGTCAGTATTGGTCAGCACTGCGTAACTTGTCCATAAAATAGACAGGTTCTTGGTAAGCTCTCAAAACTACAGTTTTTACTTTTAGGAAAGCAATTTCACTTCAGCTATACTGTACACAGCCAAAACAATTTTTTACTGTAACTGAGATGACTGTAGCAACTTGAAATGGAAGCATGCCAGTAAGATTTGATCAGGTTCTTTAAATCCTTAAGATTGGTAGTCGAAAATGAGTAGTAGGACTGAACTGGAAAGTATTTTCCTAGACTTCGTAATTTTCTTTCATTCTATTGTAAAAACGAGGTCTTCGTGTGATCTTAGAAGGCAGTTCTAATAGCAGGACTAGGGAATATGACAACTGGTTATGTTTTCAGTAAATTTTTGCTGTTATAGGTAGTATATGAAGCGACGGGGTGATTGTCTTTCATTCTTTTCCTAATTTTTTTATAATTCATTTTTTTCTGGCTATTATGTCACACGTATTTCTTTTTTCTGTGCATTACATCATGATAAGTTGTAGCAATTTAGCCTCATTTAGAATTTTATAGAAATTTTACGGTATTACGAACCTTCACTGTACACCTAAGATTGCCAGATAACACTTATATATACATGTCCCATTGTTTGGTCATATCAGATTTTCTTTAATGTTGTTTTGTGTATTTCCTCCAGTTCAATGAAACTATTAATCGTTTGGCCATTATTGTGAAACGTTCTATTGATGCTGATCTCAATCGTAAGTCATTCACTTATCTCTCTGTGTGATGTATGTAATATTTTTTACTTCCTACTGATAAGTTGGATTACACAACCGCTAAATGATACTTTTTTCCACAGACATCCACTTAAAGACAGGTTATTCGTTAGCTTTAAAAAAATTGTTGTCATTATCTCACTCTCAAACTAACTAGTTACATACAGCATTTAGGGACAATTACTATGCAGCACCTTACAATGTTTCATTATTAACAGTCTCTTTGTTACCTTATCCGCTTTTGTGGTTGTGTAATTATAGACTGGATAAGTGTTTCTATGCGTCCCTATTCATGCACTCGGTTATATTTTCTCGTTTTTCTTCATTCCTACTAACTGTTTCGATGTATCTGTTTTACTTTCTGTATGTTGCTTTTGAATGTAAAGGTTAGATATTCCTGGCCAGTGTAATTGTCGATTTCATTTTAAGCAACTCAAAGAAAGGAAGGCAATATAAAGAAGTTATTTTACCACTGCTTAAGACCGTTTCGAAACATTCATTTAGGGCATGGATTTGTCAACATTTCAGTCATTGTACTTCTTTGATTTTATTGATTGAAACCTTTATTATCTTGTGATATCAAACGGTGTTGTCGCCTTCCTCATTCTCTCTTCTTGATGTGGCGTTGTCAGTTTACTGTAGTTAGACAGTGCATATCTAATCTTTCCCTCTAACTGGGTTGTTCAGGAAGGTGTGGGAGACAGAGAGTGTGCCATCAATGTGGAACGAAGCCATTATCGTCCCCATCTTTAAAAAGGGTCGACGTAATTCGTGTGACAATCATAGGGGTATCAGTCTGTTACCAGTCGCGTCTAAAATACTGGCTGCTGTCTTGCTTCGCAGACTGTGCAAAATACGTGAAGGATTGATTCGCGAAGAGCAGGCTGGGTTTCGTTCAGGTCGTGGATGCATTGATCATGTGTTCACCCTTCGTCAGTTGTTGGAACACCGCCACACGTATTGCAGGCCAACGATCGTTGTGTTTCTTGATATTAGGGCTGCCTTCGATTCGTTGGACAGAACTGTGCTCTGGAACTGTCTGTTAGAGAGAGGTGTACCTGAGAAATTTGTTAACATCCTGAAAGCCCTATACAGAAACACCTCAGGTAGAGTGAGGGCATACAACCAACTATCACCACTGTTCCCAACCAACAGTGGGGTTAGACAGGGTTGCCCAATCTCTCCGTTTCTCTTTAACTTTGCCATCGATGACATTCTGGAGTCAGCTCTGAAGGATGTGCGTGAAGGTGGTGTAGATCTGCTACCTGGAGATAGACTTTTCGACCTCGAGTATGCAGACGATATCGTCTTACTGTGCGATAGCATGCAGGCTGCCCAAATCGCACTTAATCAGTTGGCGATCAGTGTCTGTAAGTATGGTATGTGCTTTGCGCCGTCTAAGTGCAAAGTACTGTTACAAGATTGGCAGGAGCCTGTACCTGCACTCACTCTTGCGGGTGAACCGCTTGAAGTTGTTGATAAGTTTGTGTACCTGGGTAGTTGTGTGAGTGCTGGCGGAGGGGTGACGGATGAGATTTCCAACCGTATAATGAAGGCTAGGGTGGCATACATCAACTTGAGCCACCTCTGGCGCCGTCGCGACGTTAGCCTGGCTGTCAAAGGTCGGGTATACAATGCTTCGGTGCGGGCTGCCTGCTCTACGCCTGTGAAACCTGGCCTCTCCGAGCTGAGGATGTGCGGCGACTCTGCGTGTTCGATCACCGCTGTCTCCGCAGGATTGCTTGCGTTCGATGGCATCATCGCGTGAGTAATTCTGAGGTTCGGCGGCGTGTGTTTGAACAAAGTGGAGATCACCATTCATTGAATGTCGTCATCTGGAAACACCGGCTCCGGTGGCTTGGACATGTGCTCCGAATGTCACCCCAGAGGCTTCCGTACAGGTCTCTGTTCGCTAGCCCTGGGACGGGATGGAAAAGGCGGAGAGGTGGTCAGTCCATGACGTGGCGTCGTGGGATGAAGGATTTTTGTGCTAGATTAGCATCGGTTGGTGTGTCACGACTCCCTGGTTGGGGTCCGAGAGATAGCTCAAATCGATGGCTCGAAACGTTATCGGATATGGCCAAGAATCGTAATCAGTGGCGAATGTGTTGTGATTTCCTTCTTTCTTCCCTTCCCGATGATAGCTAACGAACACTGTTTGAACTTGTTAAGCATGACTGTTTTCCTTCCAGATGAAGTTCTTTATCCGTTCTCTACTTATATATATATTTTTTTTTTCCTTCCTTCCTTTTTTTTGATCTATGTTGTTTTATTATTATTGTGTGGCGCATCTTTCTTGGTGCCATATTGTACCAAGTTTTTTATGCGTTTAAATAATAAAATAAATACCTCTTTCGGTTATTCTTCTCGTAGCTTCTGGGTTAACTCTTTCTCTAGCATTTTTAAAGCCTCCTTTGGAGAATTCGGCTTCCCTTCAGTTATCGCCTTTTTTTTACCTTCGGTTTGGCGCACAATAAGAAGACTGTTCAGTTCTGGTTTCTCACCGTCGAAGGCTAAGGGGGGGCAGTTTTCACAAGCACCGTAGATACTCCTCCGGATTCTCACTTTGACGTCCATTGTTAACATGGATAAACACTATGTGTTCTACTACACATGTCTTTGGGAGGCGAATGTGCGACGCATGGACGTAAACAGTACTTTTGTGTCATCGTCCGAAATATTCCAGCGACAGAGCGCATATAACAGCACTATCTAGTAGTTACTCTTCAAACTGCTGGATTTGCTGGCGATACTTCCTGCCACGGCACGAATGGCTGACCTGGTACAAACGTATCTTGTGTGGCGAATTTAACCATTCCCACCTTGTTAGTACATTCACGATGTTATTATTTATTATGTTGCGTAATGTTGTGTTATAGCATCAAGAAACCATTTTTAAGCTTCTAAACTATTGGACGTTGGCAATCTACTTTTCTTAAGTGCTTTGATAAACCATGAAAGAACGTTGTAACTATCCACTTTCTACGAGAAAAGCCTTATTGACAAGATACACAGTAATACTATGTAATATATAAATCATAAAGCTGTATAATCTGTGATAATACAGTTGTCTCAAATTCTCTATTTCCATCTCTATCTGTCTCCTTAATATCTACTCAATTATATTTACACAAATTCATTTTATATTCATAGATATTTTTTCTATTTCTCCATTTATTCAGTATCATTTAAACTGATCATCTATTTGAACGCTGAACTTGAACTGTAGTGTATTTTGGCTACAAACCAAGAGGATTAGTGGAATTGTTTCGTGCAAGAAAAGGCTGATCATATGCAGCTATTTCCATTTTAACCTGTATATATATAGACGAAAAGACTGTGTGCATGTATCCACCATCACGAGAAACAATTCTGTGTGCTAACCGTTCTCTTCCTCTTACTGTATATAATTGCATGCTGCAACTTTTATGTATCAGTTTATATTGAGGCTTTCTTGTCATTCTACAATTAGCCACGTAAATATCTCACCGACTTTTGTCTGATATTTGTGTTTTTTATATCATGATTCCTGTTTTTTTGGTATTTCGAGGGAATAAGTGAAACGCACAAATTATGCTAAAGTATTGTTCTGTTGTTCAGCTTTATTGTAAGCAACCCTGAGTGTACAGGCAACTAAAATAGCTTACTAATTACTTCATTCATGTACCTGTGTTCTATGGATTACTTAGTTGTTGATGGAGACGCATAAAAGATAGAGTTGACTGGTAGTATCAAAGTATTGATGTGTGTACTTATTCATTATGCACAGTGTAATTCGCTGTAATGTGTTGAACTACATACATTATGATGACAGGTAACCTTTTAATTCTTCCAGGGTATATTTTATTCCACTGTATTATATTTTCTTGACTAACCTACCTCCTTGACATTTTCAAAAATATTTTCTCTTTTTTAGGCGCTTGGAATGATTTAGCCCAGTCTCCTGAGACTCGAGAAAAATTGGCTAGTGTGTTCGAAGGCATCCTCAGTAATATAAGTACAACTTTTCACCTAGTTCGTAATACTCTGTCGGTGTATCGAGATGAAAATGTAGACGGTCATTATTTAAGGTAGGTGTGTGTGTAGTTTTTACTTAATTTTATTTTCTGATGTTGTTACGTTCCCCGAGTCGGGTGGTTTAATTGAGAAACTTTCATTCTCCTTCTAGACAACATCTTCAATGCAGACTTCAATATGAAGTGAACCCACTTGTCAGAAGATGCAGTTATCACATTCATGAAGAATTTAAAAATAAGTTCACTTCATATTGAAGTCTGCGCTGAAGATGTCCAGAAGGAAAATGAAAGCTTCTCAATTAAAGACCATCCAGCTCACAGAACACAACCACATCGAAATCATCCATCTGAGTAAGAAATCTCTATTTCAGAGTTTTGTATTCGAAGTATCCCGCGTATCGTTGTAGTAGTAGTTGTTGTTGTTGTTGTTTTTACACTCGGACGCTCTCTTTTATAGTCACAATCTTCTTGTATCTAACATATTCCATCTATGGTATAGTAGGGTTGATCATAGAAGTGTTTTTTAACTGCAAGTTTGACTAGACACTTATTCCTACTAAGTGGGTCATGTGTAGTGGCAAAATCTTTCTTTGTAGCATGACCAAATCAGATGGGTGCAGCATTTTTCCCATCTGAATCTTACTCTACTTAAGATTAACTCACATATCACTTTCGTTAATTACTTAAAATTTTTTTTTTACTTTGCTTTGATCAAAAAAAAAACTCGTAGGGTTGTCGAGTATCTGTTGTATGGTGGCATAGCCCTTCTGTGCATGCCTATATTGATTTTCCTGCTATTGTACCTTGGATTGTGTTTTGGTACTTGCGGTGATCGTCCATATGAAGAAGCCGGTCTGTGCAACAGAGGCGTTGGAGCCAATTTATTACTAGCGTGAGTCGACTATTTTACATGAATATTTCAATCATACAATTAGAAGAACTGATTCCTTAGTGAAATATTATTTTTGTCTAGTTTGAACGACATCTATACGACGTCACACTTTATCTGTCATAAAATATGCTGAAATACGTTTTTTCTTTTGACTAGTTAGCTACATACATACCTTTTGTTCGACAAATGATATCGAAGATAGAGAAATTACTGTTATTATTTAGTTGTTATTGTAAAAACAAAAATTTCAATGATCCATTACAAATCAGTTAAGGTGTCGGTTTCTATCATATCTAAAACTTCAGCTAATCATGTAGGAAGTAGAATGATTGTCTATTGAGCGTAGTTATTATCTTCCACCATTCCCTGCTGACAGGAAATCATTACGAGTTGAACCAAATAAATGTAAATTAGGTAATGAAAACTTAGTAATGTGAAACTACGGAGAAAAGTGTAAAGTGCAAATGATATTGTGGAATAGTGGATATAAATTTATAAATCCTCTGAGGATTCAAAAGAATACAAAAAGAGGTAGGCATTTCACATATGCTGGAAAAATGTCATCAGATACAAGGTTACCTAGCAGTGCTATTGGTAGACATATCCTTGATGTAACAGCAGATTCCTATTTTATGCAGAAGCCGCGGCAGTAATCTAACAATCGAAACTTATACTTGTTTTATGACTTATGATTGGACAAAGTTTTTTAAAAACAAGAGATGTTCCTTTTATATATAAACCTCTGTTATGTTAATTTCGATTAATTTCCCTGAAGAAGTTCGGACCAGATTTCCGAACGAAACGTTGGAATTACTCATTTCACTATCGCTGAGATTCTACTCTATCTTTGCCCGGGGATTTTGTGGCTTACCTTGGTAATTTGTTGTTTATGTTATGTGTTCTATGTCCCTTCCTTCTTTAAAAATGGCTAACCTTTCCAACACTTATCAATAATCATCATATTCATTGTGTAGTTTATTCTTCACTGTTTTATCACCACTTCACTCCTTGGCATACCATGTATGTTATATTCTAACTGTCCTCTCCACCATCTTGAATCCTAATCACAATTTATCTGGATAGAATATACTGTATGATTTGTCATCTCATTATTTTGTACTTTTATTATTAATGACTGACTAGGTCATAGACTGTAATTTTTCTCCGTATAATAAGGCATTAAGAAGACAAATTTCACGAGATGATATCATTTCGTAGTTTCTTTGCAAACGCTTTACAACTAACATGGTTAACAATAATAAAATAAAGTTAATGACAATTACTCAGTTATATAAAAAACAAAAGTACATACTAATGACCAATCATATTTAGATAGGTCAAGTAGTCTATGGTAAGCGAAGGTTGAAGTCTATTATTTTTTGTACACACAGTTTAGACTGCATGTGATTAAATACAAAGTGCTTCCACTGCCTTCAATAACCTTGAATTATTCGATTCGATTTCGGAAGTCACTCGAATATTTGGATGAATATGATTAAATAGGGTAATAAAGCTTTCAATAGATTTACTATTATTACCAATAATAAGAGTATCATCTACATAAAGTTTATACAGCATAAATTCTCCAGCATACCTTGTATTTGTTCCTCCAATTTCGACATGAATATATCTGCTAACAGGGGCCCCATAGGGATCCCCATCGCAACACCATCGATTTGTTCGTATGCTTTTTCTTGGAAGGTGAATCTAATATTGTCTGTACATATTAAGATGGTGTTTCTAATGTAATTGATAATAATAGGAAAGTGTATCCCATTGCTTGTGATGTAATCGCCAATGAAATCAACAGTTTCACAAAGAGAAACATTGGTGAATAAAGATTCTGTGTCGATTGAGCACATAACCTTTTCCTTAATGTTCAAGGTCTCTAGCATATCGGTCAGGTCAAATGAACTTTTTACAGAACTATTTGATAATGAGTCTCTTACAGCCGTAAGGACCTCTGTATTGTATGGTATGGAGAATTCGACATGTCTAAGATAGGTCTCAGTGGGTTCCCAGTTTTGTGGATCTTTCGAAGTCTATATATATGTGTATATATGTATATGTTTTGCAAAGTAGAGGTTTGGAAATCCATAAATAAAGCCAGAACTTAGTGTAAAAAAAATTTGTACGATCTCTTTCGTTACCATGGTCTTGATTTTACTATTTAATTTACATAACACCTTTGTTATCCTTTTTTATTCCGTATTCCATTTTTGTTTTATTTCCTTTAAGACTGTGATCATATTCTAACATTTTATCTAGTCTACTACTTTGACAACATTTCACCTATCCGGTGTTTCCATCATGTTAAATTCACATTTCCAAATGTACTTTATTTTCCGATCATCTATTTCACACTTGTCTATTGAACATTAGGTTGACCTCTATTTATTTAGTTATTCATACATATATCTAATCAATGGTGACTCATAATCCTATACACCAAAATTATTGTCGCACTTTAGCATTTCCACTCACTGTCAAACTTTAACACACACACACACATGAAAACTGATTGTTATTGTCTATTGTAATTTGTCTAAAAGAGAATTTTCTCTGAACTATTGGTTTTTATGTTCAGTGGGGATTGCATCACTGAACTGTATCAAGTTATTTGCATTTGACAATTACGTCTTAAATTACTACACTACACATAAAATTTAATTTATTGCACGAACAATCTGTATGGTCACTAGCTGACACTTTTTCTATTCAATTCATTTTACCATTTGTAAAACCGCTCCGCATTGTTTACATGATGGCCGTAAAACAGTTAGTCGTTAATAACTTCTGACGTTAACATTTGTTATTGAAATCTTAAAATGACATAAAACCCAATTTTGTGCAATTCACGAGAATCTTTTGTTATTGATGTCCTGAAAACCAAATACTATAGGACGTCAAAATATCTCCCAAACAAAATATAATAGTGGTATTATAAAATGTAGAAGAAAAACTAAGTATAATCAAGATTTTTACTGACCATTCGTATGTCACGTCGATGAAAGAAAGGATAAGTGGATGTCTAGTAGTTACACTAAAAAACTCCATTTTTTTTTGTCCCAAAGTACAAGAAATCGATAGATACTTCTGTCATTGAAACTTTTACTTTATTCTAATTAATAATCTTGATTTCTTAAAGTGTATGTACAATGTACTTTTTATTTTAGTGGTGTTGGATTTATGTTCCTTTTCTCAACCATATTGATGGTTTTCTGCATAATCCCATTCTTTGTCGGCGGACCTTTGCAAACTGAATTTTGTCGATACATGACTGGTCGTTATCCGGATGGCCCAAGGAAAATGGATCAATACGTTTTTGAAACTTTGAAATCGCTTATTAACACAGCTGATCGACCTATTCCAGATTCTTCTAACAATAGAGAGATTACTATTACCAGAGATTTAGCTACTGCCCGTGCAACTTTGGATATAATACGTTTTAACCTATCAGACACTATTTTAACTCGATGTGAACATGAACCATTTGTGAAAGCAATCAGTACTGGAGAGTTTGTTTGGCCTGTTCTTAATGATGTGAGTTTCATTCCAATTTCATTGGAAAAAACTGGGGTTTATAAGATTTATTTATTTTTTGTCAATATCATTTTTCATGTTCCCAAGGATTAGGTAAATGGCTGACGTAATTCATCAAATGTGCAAATGTCCCATTTACAAGGAGAAATCTACATCTCATCGTACTGGCAAAACATTGCATCGAGCATCTAGTTGACCTAATTGGTTATAGTACCTAACTTATCATATATTGCCGCAATATTCTCATCTCTTGAAAGGTCTGAAAGTACTACCCCATTATGGATTAGATTTTATTTTGATGAACCACACAGTGTTATACAGTAATATCAACTGAAAAGATTAGCTGTCTTTGATCATAGGTGCCTGCGTTCTATCTCCCGTGTGAAGTGGTATAATAAGGTGAGCAACATTGGGGTTAGGAGTCGAGTGCTAGGTAAGGAGGGGAAATCAATCGACGAAGTTGTGAAGTTACAAAGACTGAGATGGTTAGGACATGTGTTACGTATGCCTAGTCATCGCCTTCCTCGACGGGCAATGTTAGTTGACATAGGATTGGTCAGGCTGAAAAAGAGCTAGCGGAGGTCAAACAAAAACATGGCACCAGTCAATGAAATTTACAACAGTTAGTCTAAGCCATGTAGGCAGGTGTAGACTTCCGGGTTGGGGTTCTCGGGACGGTAAAAACCAATGGTTGGAAACAAGTGGTTACATGGTTCAAAATCGTTCTCAATGGCTGGCGCAGATGCATCCACTCTTTGTGACTTATCATTTCCAATGAAACTGTTTTCTTCCTCTTTACTATTCCTTTGTCTCACTCCTTTGTTTACTGTCTGTATTATGCATTTCTTCTACTTTCTCCTGTTGCCTTGTTTGCTACATGGAGTGTGGCGACTTAAACTGGCGCACATCAGTACAAAGTTTTATGTCGAAAACAGACAGACAGACAGACAGACAGACATATCAACTGATGACGTTTCGAGCACAAACTATAGCTCATAATCATATCAAGTTACTTACACAACTTCTTTTTCGTCGTTTATATACATGTGTAGAATTGACTAGATATTTGAATAAAAATCAGTATGAGATAATGTACATTCAGAAATAATAATACGAGTGTTATTGATCAATTACAATCAGATGGGAAATAAGACGAGGGTTTTTATAGTGTAAATAAGTACCTTGTTAGAATTTTGTGATGTGTATGAATTGAAATAGAATTTTAAGATTAATTTATTATCCTCCTCTGATTTGACTGGTGGAAATAATATCTTCCATATTTCTGGTATTTGCATTGAGTCATTTCTGTTGCATGTGTTGGGTGTAGACTCGATGAAGAAGGATTCAGTAATCAATCTCTCGCCACCTACCTATAATACTCCGTAGAATTTTGACTCTCTCCCACCCACCCTATTGTGTGGTTGTGTGTTAATGCATGCATTGCAATTGCTGAGCTTTTTTCCAAATTACTTATCTTCTTGGGGTCAGCCATTCTTACCTTAGCTAAATTCTTATGTTCCGATAGTCTGACTACCCTCCGTTCTATTAGTTTGACCTATGTAGTTGACATGACTCGAAATCATTGCAGGGTATTTTGTAAATTATATTGTTTTGTCTAATTGGGTCAATCGACAGGGTCCTTTAACCTGCAGAGCTTGTCTTTTAATGACTTTACAGGTTTGAATGCCACTCTAACTCCTGCTTTATTGGGAACCCAATGTAGGGCCTCAGGTGTCCCTTCCTTATGCGGTATAACTCATGTAATATAAATGGAAGAAAAAAGTTGTGTGATTAGCTTCATTTGATTATGGGCAATAGTTTGTGCTCAAAACGTGGTCATCAGTTAATATAACTGTATAACACTGTGTGATTCATCAAAATAAAATCTTATCTATAATGGAGTCATACTCTACCACAGTGCCCAATTTTTATACTTACATCGATGAAAGTACTAAGCATAGTAATTTTGACAGCTGAATACCATCTACCACACTCATACTCTCGTGAAATATGCAGCTATTAGTTCGGTCTAATGTTTCTCTATTTTAAATAATTTGTGTGATATGTATATACGACTCATAAATTGATATCAACATTGTTTGGTGGAAAGCTGTTCAAGTAAACTCTACTTAGAGAATAGCAGTTCGGCTCATTTCTAACTCGATACTTTTAGTGGTATCTTTAACGTTTTGAGAAATTAAAAGCATCTGGTGTTTTGAATTACCTCTATCCATTAATCAAATATCAAACGTTTTAAGTAGCATGAGCCATTTGGCTCAATTTCCTTTTAAAACAATTTTAAATTCTTTGTTCTATAGGAGTTTGACCTTTTCTTGTTGGGAAGTGAACGCAGATTGTTCATTTAAAGGGGGCTACCGTGTATGTAAACTGTAGAGCTTGGAAGAAACAATAGGTATATGGACTTACTTTAGTCATTAACACTTATCAAAATGTAGCTCCAGTACATTTCTGATCAGAGTTTAGAAATAGTTTTGGGAACTGACCAACCACCTACCAGTCAGTCTTATCATCTTGTTACAATGCAACAGTTTAGTTTAAGGATTTTATCACACTTGCCTTATGTCCTGCGAATGCGAACCAAGTTTGCTGCATGCCAAATAAGCATACCGTTTTACTTTTTATCATTTTCTATTTTTCTGCTTCACTAAAACCACACATTGTTCAACCTGCGTTTATCATCTTTAACATTCACATATTAAAGGTGATTTTATAATATGGATATCACAAGAATTCTGGAAAGCCTTGTGTTTCCTCGAGCTTTTAAATGTACTGCCTTGTCAAATATCCATGAAGGTGAATCATATCTTTACATTTGTTTTTTTCTAAACACTCCCATTAATGTAGCGTAACATTTTAGCTATTATTGTTTTGAAATTTTTCACGTATTAAGTTTGTTCATCAGAGTTCTGTTACAATAATTTGACAGAAAAAAAAAACAACAACTCAGTAAACTGCAACACAATTAACAGAAACCCTTTATATTTTATAAGTAATCTTATTTGTTATCAGGTAATTGAAGGAATTTTACAAGATCTAATCACCTCATTCAAGAAAGCTGATTTGGTATCTCCACTACGCGATATTATCCAATCGTGTCTGTCAGCATTGGATCGCTTGAAATTCCTCTCAGCTGTTGATTTCAGCAAAGCTATAGAACAGGTTAGTTTACATATTTTATCTACACTCTCTTGAATTTCATTCTGTGAACTATCTGTTGGTTTATAGATTTTTCGTTTAGTAATTTGTAATATTTTGCACATGTACTGGTTTTCGGCAAGTTCCCGCTTCATGAATTTGAGTATTGGTTAGCGGCAGTAGTGATAATGTATCAATCCTCAGAAAACGCCAAAGTTTTGCGTTTTCCGGCACTTTTTCTCTAGGTGGATTTGTGATCGTGTCTGAATTCACATTCTTTCTGAAACCCAAAAAAATGCACCATTCAGTGGTAAGGTTCAACCAAGTCTGTGTATTAGATATTCAAGTTACGATATTCAGACAAACCAAAAATTCAATAAAATAACAAATTACTCTTCATTAAATGATTCCTAATAGAATGGTGTCAATCAAGTAAGAGGAGAAGAACATGGTGCACTGAGATCATAACACAAATTTCCAAACACAGGCCAACTACTTGGCAATATCTTTCAGTCTTGTACTTGTCAACACTGAAGTGCATTAGTTCAAATTACTGCATTTCTTTTTTTTTTAAAAAGCACGTAAAATATGAGAAAAGAAACATAAGTACACTGAAATGAATAAAACTGAGCGTGGAGTAATCAATAATAGTCCAAAGAAAAGGCTAGAGAAAAAGTTTATACTTTTTATTTTACCTGGTTCCAGGGTCTCACAGTACTGGCTTACCTCAAACTACAATTTAATGATTTTCCATTGCTTCTTTATTTTTATTTGATGAAATACTTTACAAACTGACATCTGTATTCTCGATGAATACTACTTTAAAAGAACTCACATCTTGGTGTAAATATTCAAGATAGGTATCATGAAAAAAAAGTAGTCAATACCAGCCAGAGAATCAAAGTACACCAAGCCTCAGTTTTTGTTTGTTTGAAATTATTCGAAGTTATATCGTATGTTCATAAATAAAATGCATAGCAGGTTTCCAGTTTCCAGTCTTTACTCTCTCTCTCTGGACTGTATGGTGTGTTCACATGTTTGTTGCCTACGGTGTTTTAACCATTTCAGTAACTGTCTTTACTAAATGCTGTATAAATATTTTTGTTACATTCATGTTCGTTTTTTTCTAAACAAAAAAAATTGGTAAGAAAAATACTAGCTACATTTAACAACTCTCTCTCTCACACACACTGTGTTAACAACTTGTGACATAAATCATTTTATCATGTGGCGTTAGTAGTAGTGATACATTTTTGCATTTCACAGTGCTGACTATATTTGGGCCAAATACAAGGAATAAGTCGACGGTGTTGTGAAATGCATTTTGTGTTAGAGTTTTGTACTAACTACTAACCAAGCAGTGGCATGCATATATATATATATATATATATATATATATATATATATATATATAATCATTTTATGTAAGGATTTTAAAAGCATCCAACAAAATACAATTAAACACTTTTATTCAATGTAGACAATCAGAATTTATTGCGTAAGAACACTAAACGCATATCATTATACGATTTGTTGCTGAGTTTGATTTTTTCCTCAGTAGTGGTGATGTTTATATATGGGGGTTGGGTTGCTAGCCTCAAACTTAAACCTTCGTCTATACGGACATCACTACCGGCTATGCCAGTTTTAGGAGCGCTTTGCCGAAAACTTAACCCGGACCATAAGCGTAGTTGAGGTGCATTCTACTACTTAGTCACCGACGTGCTTAGTCTGATAGCGAACTGAACTTCTGTCCTCAAAGCCAAAAAACCAACACCGATAGTCTCCTAAAGCCACGCCACCAATTTCATATAGGAGCTCTTAATGTTAGGACACTTTGCCAAATAGGACAACAAGCATCACTAGCCAAGACTCTGGCATCCCGAGCCATTGATTTATGTTGTGTTTCAGAAACACGCATACAAGACCCAAGTGTGGTTATTCACCTAACCCCACCTGGCCAACAGGATGAATCTGCAAAATTCACCTTGAGGGTGTCAGGAGATACCACAGCTAGTTCACGAGGATTAGCTGGTGTAGGGATAGCTTTGAGCACTAGGGCAGAAAGGAAACTACTTGACTGGATCCCGGTAGATAGCCGAATGTGTGCTGTCCGTGTGAACGGGTCAGTAAAAAGGAGAAAGGACTGCACTACTCGCCGATGCCTTTTCGTAATCTCCGCCTACGCCCCCACTGACTGCAGTTCGGATGAAACGAAGGATGAGTTCTACCAAAAGCTGTCTAGTTTGCTGCTCAGACATAGTCGTTCTAGCTGGTGACTTTAACGCTCAAGTAGGGAAATTGTGTCAATCTGAGAAGGATGTCGGTGGCACCTATGGAGCTCCGTGCCAGCGAACCGACAACGGTGACCGTCTCCTACAGTTCTGCTCTGATAATCATTTGTTTCTTGTAAGCACTAACTTTAAACACAAGGAGAGACACTGTTTGACTTGGAGACCCCCTTCATCAAACCAACGCTGGACACAAATAGACCACATAGCAATAAGCTATCGTTGGCGTGGGTCGGTAGGAGATTGTCGCTCCTTCTGGAACACGTGTGTAGATACCGACCACGCACTGGTCCGCGCTCGTGTGTGCTTACGACTGAACGGACGTAGGAAACAGCTGGCGGTAAAACCATCACGTCCCCAGCTCGATCAGGAAACTAAATCCGTATTTGAGGAAGAACTAGCTAAACACATATCTGAGTTCGACAGCTGTGCTCACCCTGAAGAAGCTTGGAAGAATATCCAGGCAGCCATAGATACAGCTGTAAAAGCTGTGAATAAGGTAAACCCAAAGGTGAGTAAAAACCATTGGATCTATACCGCCTCATCCGAACTGATAGATGCTAGAAGACTTATTCCGGCGAGCTCCGAATTCAATGAGGAGCGAAAGCTGCACAAGAGGAAACTTACGAAAAGTCTCCGCAAGGACCGTGAACAGTGGTGGGTGACAAAAGCGAAAGAGATGGAAAAAGCTTCGACGATAGGCAACACTAGGAAACTGTTTAGACTCATCAAGGAAACGGGAGGAAGAAGGCAAGTCATAAGTGAGACTGTTTCTGAGAAAAATAGCTCCTTAATTAGCTCTCAGGACAGACGCCTCGAACGCTGGAAAGAACACTTTGAGGAACAATTTAACCTGCCTACAGCCACACTGAAGCTCCCCGCCATCCAGCACACACCCGAATGGGATATAGACACAGGTCCTCCGTCCCTAAATGAGGTTACTAAAGCTGTCACCAATCTGAAACTAGGCAAAGCAGCGGGACCTGATGGAATGACTCCAGAGCTATTTAAGTACGGTGGAGACAGTTTACTGTCAGCATTAACTAAGGTTCTAGGCAGCATCTGGGAATCAGAGGGAGTCCCATCGGGTTGGTGTAAGTCACTGATTATCCCTTTATACAAGAAGGGAGACAAGTCTTCCTGTGATAATCACAGAGGGATTAGCTTGACTAATATAATATCTAAAGTCCTAGGCTCAATAATAATGCGTAGACTGAGTGGTGCTCGGGAGGCACAAACACGAAAGAACCAGGCAGGCTTTAGGCCAGGAAGAGGGTGTATTGATCATATCTTCACCCTCCGACAGATTCTAGAACATAGGCATTCCTACCGGCGTCCAACAATCATATTTCTTGACCTAAAGGCGGAATTCGATTCTGTCCACCGAGAGATACTCTGGCTATGTTTGGCTGTAAAGGGAATGACGAGAAAATACATTACAGTGATCAAGCCACTCACTCTACTCGAACTGATGCAGTCAGCCAGGTGAGGGCTTACGGCGAATTGTCATCTGAACTGGTGACGACCAGTGGTGTCCGTCAAGGATGCCCATTATTCCCATTTCTATTCCATTTTCATCTTAGATGTACTAATGGACTTAACCCTAACTCACTTCAGTGACTCAGGGTCGACTTGCTACCAGGGAATAATCTCGTTGACTTAGAATATGCAGACGATATAGTCCTTCTAGGCGAGGATGCTGACAAAATGCAGTCTTCTGAACACCTCGATCTGCGACCTACGAATGTTAGGCATGTGATTTGCTCCCGCCAAATGGAAGATGATGTTACAGGACTGGACTACATCGACGCCTAGCTTAAAAATAGGAAGTGAAGTGGTAGAGCACGTTGACCGCTTCACTTATTTGGGAAGTACCATCAGCCAGTGCCAACGCGTTGATCTCTGACGAAATCGCAGCACAGATACAGGAGGCTCGTTTCGCATTTGCCAGTTTACGCCGCCTCTGGCGTAGACGAGATATTTGACTATCGACCAAAGGGCGGGTGTACTGCTCATCAGTCCGCTTCGTCTTCCTTTATGGCTGTGAGCGAGACCTGGCCACTGAGAGTGGAAGACATGAAAAGACTGGCTGTCTTTGATCATAGGTGCCTGCGTTCTATCTCCCGTGTGAAGTGGTATAATAAGGTGAGCAACATTGAGGTTAGGAGTCGAGTGCTAGGTAAGGAGGGGAAGTCAATCGACGAAGTTGTGAAGTTACAAAGACTGAGATGGTTAGGACATGTGTTACGTATGCCTAGTCATCGCCTTCCTCGACGGGCAATGTTAGCTGACATAGGATTGGTCAGGCTGAAAAAGAGCTAGCGGAGGTCAAACAAAAACATGGCACCAGTCAATGAAATTTACAACAGTTAGTCTAAGCCATGTAGGCAGGTGTAGACTTCCGGGTTGGGGTTCTCGGGACGGTAAAAACCAATGGTTGGAAACAAGTGGTTACATGGTTCAAAATCGTTCTCAATGGCTGGCGCAGATGCATCCACTCTTTGTGACTTATCATTTCCAATGAAACTGTTTTCTTCCTCTTTACTATTCCTTTGTCTCACTCCTTTGTTTACTGTCTGTATTATGCATTTCTTCTACTTTCTCCTGTTGCCTTGTTTGCTACATAGAGTGTGGCGACTTGAACTGGCGCACATATGTGCAATTTATAGTTACATTGAGTTTCATTGTCTGTAGCACAGCTATGTACAATATGGACATCAAAATGATAAAGCAGCAATATATAGATTGGATAAATAAAATCGTTGAGTGACTGCAATGACAACAGGTGGGCATGCTATTCGCTTACATTCATAATAGCATTCGATACTCTACGATGCTTTGAGAAATAGCTGAAAAAAAGGAAGTGGCAACATGTTTACTGTTAATTCCTCTGTGAGCTGTATCTAATAACGCCCCAAATTACTGAGGCGGAGGGTTCACTAGAGTTGTGATGCACCATTGGACACCGACACAGGTCTTCACCCTAAATAATGCGCTGATCACCTTTCTCTATGTCCAGTGTTCTAGGATTAGGGATAATTCAACGGTATGAAAGCTACTCCGACACCATACTTAGTACTTGTTCGAGTCACCGAAGCCAGTATCTCAATGGCGACATCACCTAATTTAAGGCGATCCCCAACGTGTCCAAAAACTTTCAAATCTTATGATTACTTACATGTGAATGTTTTCGGTTGGATAGAACTCTATAGAGACAGTGAGGATCAAAATATACCATGTCAATGCATATTCTGAGCTGTAGGACATCAAGTTTCACTTAATTTGTTCACCCGAACTTTGGTTGTGGTTGTCATCACAACGACAGCGTCAAAGGTGACACAAGTTGTCCAATGGTAACCCGTATACAATTATGAATTCCATCTGTAATGCCTTGGCTAATAAGAAAAAACACAGCTGCCTGAGCAAACGATATTTTCAACCAATTCTAACGGTTGGCCTGAGAGAGTAAGTATGGAGACAAGCTGCTGCTAATTATTTATCACCATTATTTTCATCTGCATATTAAGATGTTGGTTGACCTTATTCAGGTAGCAGATTTACTTCATCAATCATATTTACTTATTTATTTAAACGCATAAAAACTTGGTACAATATGGCACAAAGAAGGATGCGCCACACAATAATAAAACAACATAGATCAAAAGAAAAAAAGAAGGAAAAGAAAAATATATATAAGTAGAGAACGGATAAGGAACTTCATCGGGAAGGAAGACAGTCATGCTTAACTAGTTCAAACAGTGTTCGTCAACTATCATCGGGAAGGGAAGAAAGAAGGAAATCGCAACACATTCACCATTGATTACGATTCTTGGCCATATCCGATAATGTTTCAAGGCATCGATTCGAGCTATCTTTCGGACCCCAACCAGGGAGTCGTGACACACCAACCGATGCTAATCTAGCACAAAAATCCTTCATCCCACGACGCCACGTCATGGACTGACCACCTCTCCGCCTTTTCCATCCCGTCCCAGGGTTAGGGAACACAGACCTGTACGGAAGCCTCTGGGGATGACGTTCTCAGCACATGTCCAAACCACCGGAGCCGGTGTTTCCAGATGACGACACTCAATGAATGGTGATCTCCACTGTGTTCAAACACACGTCGCCGAACCTCAGAATTACTCACGCGATGATGCCATCGAACGCAAGCAGTCCTGCTGAAACAGCGGTGATCGAACACGCAGAGTCGCCGCACATCCTCAGCTCTGAAAGACCAGGTTTCACAGGCATAGAGCAGGGCAGCCCGCACCGAAGCATTGTGTACCCGACCTTTCACAGTCAGACTAACATCGCGACGGCGCCATAGTTGGCCGAAGTTGATGTATGCCACCCTAGCCTTCATTATACGGTTGGAAATCTCATCCGTCACCCCTCCACCAGCACTCACACAACTACTTAGACACACAAACTTATCAACAACTTCAAGCGGTTCACCCGCAACAGTGAGTGCAGGTACAGGCTCCTGCCAATCTTGTAACAGTACTTTGCACTTAGACGGCACAAAACACATACCATACTTACATACACTGATCGCCAACTGATTAAGTGCGATTTGGGCAACCTGCATGCTATCGCACAGTAAGACGATATCGTCTGCATACTCGAGGCCGAAAAGTCTATCTTCAGGCAGCAGATCTACACCACCTTCACGCACATCCTTCAGAGCTGACTCCAGAATGTCATCGATGGCAAAGTTGAAGAGAAATGGAGAGATTGGGCAACCCTGTCTAACCCCACTGTTGTTTGGGAACGGTGGTGATAGTTGGTTGTATGCCCTCACTCTACCTGAGATGTTTCTGTATAGGGCTTTCAAGATGTTAACAAATTTCTCAGGTACACCTCTCTCTAACAGACAGTTCCAGAGCACAGTTCTGTCCAACGAATCGAAGGCAGCTCTAATATCAAGAAACACAACGATCGTTGGCCTGCAATACGTGTGGCGGTGTTCCAACAACTGACGAAGGGTGAACACATGATCAATGCATCCACGACCTGAACGAAACCCAGCCTGCTCTTTGCAAATCAATCCTTCACGTATTTTGCACAGTCTGCGAAGCAAGACAGCAGCCAGTATTTTAGACGCGACTGGTAACAGACTGATACCCCTATGATTGTCACACGAATTACGTGGACCCTTTTTAAAGATGGGGACGATAATAGCTTCATTCCACAGCGATGGTACACTCTCTGTCTCCCATACCTTTCTGAACAACCCAGTTAGAGCCATTGTGAGAGTCTCGCCACCATCTTTGGTTACTTCAAATGATGTTGGTTGGTTAAAAAATGTCTCCAAATCAGTCAATTTCTTGAAATTCAGTTAATTAGCCTAGTAAAATCATCTGTTCATTTTTTTCTTTCTTGAAAAACAAAACAACTGATTATGTAGAAAATTGTAAGACGACAGTGAACGAATCAATATTGACATAAAAGTTCACTGCTGCAAATAACGTAGCATTCATTTTATACACTGTCATCACTGCTTACTAAAACTATAATTCAAATAAAACATTCATCCAACAATGAATGTAATTTTGATAGAGAAAGAAAGACCAGATTTGCAGTATAAAATGATATCATTCTATTTCACAGGTTCCCATCAGCTGCAAACTACCTGAAATTACAGTGGTTATAAATAATAACATTTCATACTTCATCGTTTGAAAGGTGATAGAGAAGACATGATAAGGTGAACGCATCCGGAACATAAGTATTACAATTTATAGTTTAAGTTACCATCAATTTATATACTATCAAACTATGAAAGAAGAAAAAAGGGGGGTAAGAGAAGACAGTAAACAGAAAAATCTAATAAACAGTGTCAACATGGCAACTCAAGAAGGTCAAAGTACATCAATTTGAAAACTTGCTTAGTGAGATGAGCTCACTAGTGTGTATAACTAATCAGTGTAATGAAAGTAATATGGTTACCAAGGGAGTGAGAGAATGACTACACTGTCTGTCTGTGTGCATAACTTTTGTCCGAGACATTTGATTGCAGTTGGCTGCTTCCCTACAGCCAACTTGGTGACATTATACAGTACTACATGCTCTATAAGGCAATCAAAACTGGATAAGTACCCTTCTGATGTTACCTCCAACTGCATTTATAAATGTACGTGTACCTGCGGCAGCAAGTACCCTAGAAGGACAAAGCAGAGCATATTCCAAGAAACTTATGCCTAAAAGGAAGCAGATATTTACAAATTGCAATTACCAGACACTTTGTGGATTTTGTCGAGATTTCTAAGTCCTTCAAAATATGAAACATACAAAGGACAGCGAATCTACTACGATTTGCTGAAGCAATTGCAATCAAACGCCACAGACCAAACTTATGCATACAGAAAGAGAGTGTGGTTAATCTCTCACTCCCTTGGTAACCATATTACTTTCATTACACTGATTAGTTATACACACTAGTGAGCTCATCTCACTAAGCAAGTTTTCAAATTGATGTACTTTGACCTTCTTGAGTTGCCATGTTGACACTGTTTATTAGATTTTTCTGTTTACTGTCTTCTCTTACCCCCCTTTTTTCTTCTTTCATAGTTTGATAGTATATAAATTGATGGTAACTTAAACTATAAATTGTAATACTTATGTTCCGGATGCGTTCACCTTATCATGTCTTCTCTATCACCTTTCAAACGATGAAGTATGAAATGTTATTATTTATAACCACTGTAATTTCAGGTAGTTTGCAGCTGATGGGAACCTGTGAAATAGAATGATATCATTTTATACTGCAAATCTGGTCTTTCTTTCTCTATCAATATCTATCAAGCGAACCAAATGTATGGAATTTAATTTATTTATTTAGTCAGGCGATTCATTGAAACGATGACCACCATCACCATCTGTTTATTGTCTTTATTTGATCATCAGCCAGTTTATATACACTTGTATCGGATTTCATTTCACATTCGTTTATCTGATTTACAATTCAAATATATTTTTTGTTTACCTATTTTTGGAGAAAAAAAATATATATTTCATTATCAAAATTTGCCTTCAAAATATACGTCATTTTTATTGCAAATTTTCAATATATCTTGTTTGAATTTGTGCTGTACACATACATTTATTCGATGGGCATCAACTTGCAAAATAGACAGTTATTCGAACGCTTAGCTCTGACTTTCATTAATTATGAACAGAATTGAGCTGATTTTATCTCATGACGACTTTAATATCTTTTGTAATAATAGTAATAATCATGACAGACTGTGCAAAAAACGTTTTTTCAAATGTGGGTCACTCAAAAATTCATGTTAATGTTTTTTATCACGTTCTCCGTACACATTACTGATGCACATCAACTTCTGGCTTTGTGTGTACACTGTCTTATTTGGTATAGTTGAATGCATTTTCATTGTATGACTGACTAACTTTTAAATAATATTTCGATGACATGTGTAGTATTTTCAAAAAAATAATTACTATGATACATACATAATATTAAGTAATTTTGTCACTGACTCATACGGTTGTATGTTCCTTCTTTTTATCAGGTTGGTTTGCCTCTAACCTATATTGATGATCTAGGAGACTTTGTGTCCAGATTAGAAGCCTTGGAAATGGTAAGTCTAGTTTACGCTTGTATTGTTTCATTTGTTTTAAGTATTATGCTGATTTTCAGTTCTATAGATATTTCTCTATTTCGTAATCCTCGTTTAACTACACTGTGTCGTGTATGTTAAATATGGCGGTTAGGAAAACGGTTGTGTTCTCCAGGTGTTATGATCTACAACCTTACTTAATAATTGACTGCATTTGCTTACTTTTCAGTGATTCTGATGTTACCAGATTAGTATTTTAATCTTGTATTTAATCGGAAACATTTTTGTCTTCTTTGCTTTGTTTTTTTTCGAAGAAATCATTAGCTTCGCATATTCAAGCTCTTCTAGACGGCCCCATGAAGTTGGATACAACACGTGAAGATATTCGTTTACTATTCGTTAGGCTAAATAGTTTTCCGGATCAAATGAGGCTTGTGGTTAACCGTTTAAATGATTACAATCAGAAGCTTCCAGAATCTGTTTATTCTGTAAGCTTAAACTGAGTTGTTTTGTTTTCGTTTCTTATATTTTTCAGTGTTGTATTTTAGCCTAATGTTTTGGTCATTTGTTAAAAGTGACTACATGGTGCGGAGGTAGGAGAAGTGATCATGAGAAATAATTATCATACATTAGTAGTTATGAGTAGTTTTATAATAATATTTGTAAAATTGCCTCCACCTATTAGGGCGTATGATACGTAACAGTTCAAAACGACTTGTACGAAATCTATCCTTTTTAATTCCAAATTTCTTGAAACAAGTACTCAATGCAGTATGCTACTCTTCACCTATAAACAATGCTTATGGTGAACGACGATAGTAAAAGATTGTCTCATTAAGCACTTAAAGCATGATTAAAATGTGAGGACGTAAGTGCAGAATACATTGACATAATCCTGTATTCACTAAAGCCATTGATAGCTGAAAGCTATCTATTTTTGATGGCGAAGTCAGGACTCAGTATGGAACACAGATGATACTTGTGACAAATGCCGATGTTGTTTGAGAAACACTTTTGTATATAAAAAACGTTTGCATTTCGTGCATCGGTAATCTTTTGATGTCTCTTGGTCTCCCTGAACGCTGATGTCGCAATTTAGTAATCAAATAACCAGTGGGAAGTCGTGATCAATAAGGCACAGCAAGTTGGGCATGAGAATAAATACTCACCGAAGATATTGGCTAGTGGTCACGCGATGTTGTGAATTCGCATAAGTTGGAATTCATGCGTTGACCATTGTTTGGGTCCCAGTGGCTTAATGCTCTACGAGCTCGCCTTGAAACCTGTCCAGTGCGTCGACGCACGACAGGAACAAGCTGGATTCAGGAAAGGCAAATCATGTTTTGACCAAATTGCAACTCTACGCATCATCATCACAGAACAAAGCATGGAATTGCCAGTCAAACCTCTACCTCAACTTTATAGACTTTGAGAAGGCCTTCGACATCGTTGACCGCGAAGTAATTTGCGAACTACTAGAGTACCACGGCCAACCTCAAATATTTATCAACCTTATTCAACAGCTGTATGACAACGGCACATGTCAAGTGATCCACAACGGAAAACTCAGCGAGGCGTTGGAGTAAACACAGGAGTCAGACAAGGGTGCTTATTATCCCCAATGATATTCCTAATTGTGGTGGACTGAATTATGCGTCAGACAGTGAGTGAGAAACAAGAAGACAGGGATATCCTGAACTGACCTGAAGAACCTAGAAGACCTGGATTTCGCGCGTGGAGGATTTATGTTTGATGTCACACAACATCGAAGACTTACAAGCGAAAACCGACAAACTGGTCGAAGAAGCAGACAGTGAAGACAGGGCTCCAGGTGAACATAGACAAGATGGAGGTTATGAAAATAACCAACAACAGCAACATCAAGCGCCAATCCGCATCAACGAATGGATTTGAAAGAGGTTACTTCATTCACTTATCTAGGGTGTGGCAATTTGAACTGCCGCACATTTGTGCAAAGTTCTATGTCGAAAACAGACAGACTTATCTAAGGAGGGAGCATTGTCTTAGCTACAGTCAGTCGGAACGGACGAGGATGTCAAATCGAGAATTAGGAGGGCGAGAAACACATTCATTCATCAACCTGAAACCAATCTGGAAATCTTCGTCACTCAGCATCAACAACAGAATTCGTTCGGATTTTCAATACAAACGTCAAGTCAGTCAGTTCTTCTACACGGATCAGAAACTTGGCGGGGCGGGTCACAAAGAATATTTCCTCCAACAGCCTGTTGCAGACCTTACCTTTATCAACAACTGTCTTCGCTGGCTCTATACTGAAGATCAGATGGCGGTGCCGGAAAGAATCACCAACAAGAAACTATGGGAACAAAGAAAACAAGAGCCAATCGCCCAAAAAATATACAGAAGAAGATGGAGATGGATTGGACACTCGCTGAGGAGGCCGGTTGGTGACATCGCGCGCGTCAGGCCATTGCTCGAGTGGAACCAGGCCGAAAGGGAAGCACGCGGTGAGTGGGACGTTAATTCAAGGGTGACATGGAGGAGATCGTGTGAAGAGGAGTTGAAACAGTATGGACTAACATGGATGGGGGTGAAAAGTACAGCAGCAAAAGACAGAAGCAAGTGGAGACGTGCAGTCGAAGCCCTATGTTCCACTAGGAACCCAAGGGAACAATAATAAAAATAAATTTTGCGTGAAAGTGCAATAGCATGAAATCCTGAAGATAGGATACTGATGTTTTTCTGAGCCGTAAATAAAGAAAAAAGCATTCGAAGTAGTATTCCACTGAGATCTTGATTGTTTATTTTGGGATATATTTCTGAGAATATTTAGTAATATTCTTTGTACATTAAAATTCAGTATCTGTAGCGGTACGCGCATTTTGCACAGTAGCTGAATCGAATAATTACTTCAAATTAGGTGTGTTTGTTAATTCCAAGACATTGTAAACATACTAAAGGTTGAAATATCCACTTAGTAATTGAATAAAGTGGAGATGAATAAAAGCCTAAATTAATGACGTCCGTATACAACCAATATGTAGCTACGTCCATGGGAAACTGTTATCTCTTCAACTGTGGCTAAGCAACTTGATTGTGTATCTGTCATTCAATACTGAAAATGTACTCTGCGATCGGACACATTACCCATTAGGGATTGATTTCTTTTTCTGTATATCCATTATGTATCTCTGTAATGTGTATTATAAAGTGGTATTGTATTGTATTTACTGGGTATTTTTCCTTTAAAATATCGTTTATTATTTTTACTAAATATTAGCTTATAAAACAACAAATGTTGTATAGGTCTCTGTAATCTTAAATTAAACATTATTGGAGGTCAATTTGTCTAGTATAATACCCATTAATATTGATTGCTTTTGTGTAGGACTAATATTGTGATGGTTGTGTTCGTATTTCGAGAGCAATATCTAGTTCATACGGATATTCTCCTTAGAGTTGTCAATCAATTTTTTAACCCGATAGAAAAAATCCGTCTAGTAATGCTGAGAAGCCTACAGTTAATTGTTGTTGTTGATCAGTAAAACTGGTGTGTATAATAATTATCATAATTTCACTATTAAAATATTACAGACCATGGATGCAGGACTTGTTAAGCTTCAACCATTGTTTATCAAAGAATTACAATTGGCTGTTATCGCTACTTGGCATGATATTCCGTGTCGTTCACTTCGCCTTGCCGCCAAACGTGGAGTGGACTCAATTTGTTTTACATTCCTAATGCCATTTGTAAGTTAATCAAATAATTAATGTTTATTTAGTGGGATTTTACTTTCTGATTGCTTCATCATCTATTAAACACGTTTGTCGACTAGTAGGAGTTTCTCATTCTTTCTTGCTGATTGTACTACTACTACTATAAGTTTGCTAAGAATTTTCACAGAATTTATTGTACATCGATTATTGAAAACAAACTTCAGTATATAAAGTACAATTTCCTAATCATCGGTATAACCAGGTATTACGTAGACATCTGCATAAAATTCAGACAATCATTTACAAGATTGAAAATAATACACATGCATATACATCTGCTGTTAATTTATAGACACATTACAAAACAGACATAACTAATATAAACCTTTAATGGCATTTCATTCAATAATGAATATCTTTACGGCAGTGTAATTAGTAAAGTCATGATGCCGCTCATGTATTAGGTGTATTTTTAAAAAAAAATATGTGCATTTAGTTACCTGCACGAATATGAATAGTGTATATGTAATTCATTAGGAGAATTGTTACACTGTGAACTCACTATTCACTTTTATTTCTTTATCCTAATGGACGAATTAACCATACAGTAACATTTATATTATATTAATTGTTGAGTATATTTGTTTAGTAAAATACTATATGGAACAATTCATTGTAATTTCAAAGCAGTATTGTTTGTTTAAGAAAAAAGTTGATATGCCAAACAGATATTTACAACTCTGCAAATCGCGGAGATTTTGTACTATACTGTAATAATTTATTTACAGGTGTAATTATTATGATCAGTTTATTTTGATTGGACACTAGTAACTGGTGCTACGTGTCTAGTCCTTTCTTTGGTGCAGCCTGAATTCTGTCAGTGAGGTTTGCAATGTGGCCACCATTCTAGGTAGCTCGCCATCACGGTGCACATTGATTTGATGATATTAGATAGTTGGAGGCAATCGGCAAGAAGCCTTTTACTTAGGTTGCGTGCTAGTTAGCACTTACCAGTCAGCGAGGCATATCTGCAACCTTGAAGAAACTCATGTCCCTTCTGAGATTAGAACCCGCGTCACCGAGTGCTGCAATCAGAGACGTTACCACTCAGCTATTCAAATATCAACTAGCACTGAACCTAGGTCCAAGACTTCCTGGCGATCGCCTCCAACTATCTAATATGATCAGGATGCACATTTCCGTAATTCCTGACATGTTAGCCGATTATGAGTGTTTTCCAGCTAAGTCTTATTGTTTTCAGTGTAGATTTCGTCGCAAGCCAACAGCAGTTGGATAAAAACATTAGAAACCACCGATTCTGTAACCGAGGTTGGTTAGTAATGGCAAAGAGCACATCGAAATTAATCGAAGTCCGTACAAAACCCTAAATCTCGAATATTTTGTTCTTCGAAAGATGGAATATGCACATAGATTATTTAGTGGTGTTATAGCTTTCCGTAATACCTTTGGCACTTTGTTTACACTTTTACATATATTTATTCGCGTAGTTAAGATGACTAAAGACTGTGTTAGCATAAGAATTTTTTAAAATTCATGGATTGTCGACCTTAAGCATACATACCCTAAGGTAATTAATTATTGGCGTTAAGTTTACGTTATCCGAAGTAGATCATTAACAGTAAATTGTAATACCTATTTTCCTATGAATTGTATTTTAGAACATACGCCTACTGGTGATGAGTTGATTCCACTTAAGGTGTAGGATGACCTGAAATGTTATCGTTTTCTTCTGTACCAACCAAATAGGTGGTGCTATAATGTACTTGATACAATACAATAAAATAAAATGATACATGAGATATAAAATATAGAGCAACAATTTTGTTCAGCACTTTAACAGGATATTTTCTCACAATTGTGAACGAATTATTATTTTGCTAATGTTTTTATCTTGTGAGTTAATTGGATTATATTTTGTTTGGTCATTTTCATATCTCATCGTGCAAATTATAGAATTCATTCTGGACCGGGTTAGGATTTACACTACTTCTTTTCATTCCGGCAATCATATTTGCTGTTAAATTGGCTGGTTTGTATCGTAAAACGGAGAAATACAGTCGTGATTATGAAGAACCGTAAGTGTAACTTGATCTATTTCCCTTACTATTACTATTAATTTATTAGTGTCTCATTTTATAATTATAAATCGACAGCGATTTTCCAAAACTTTTTAAAAAGACTCTTATGAGATATTGTCTACACTGTGAAGATTACCGAGTAAGTAGTGGATTATGGTGCACAGTAAATAAATCTGGCAAATAACAGCCTTAAAAATGCAAATTCAAGTACATCACATCTATTCTACGAGGTTGAATTCTGCTACTAGTATAGATGAGTCAAGTGTAAGGCTAAAATGTCCTAAGATTTTAAGTGGTTAAGCAATACATGTTTAAACAGAATTCCTTTGAAGTATTAACTTGTAAATACGTGTAAAATATTCTACATTTTTCATTTCAGAGAATAAACATTGATTTCTCTGTAAGAAATTTAACTGACAGATAATGTCTTATTGTTCTCGGTGGTATGCACGAATTTAGAAAGAGTTAAGTCAGTAGTAGGTAAAATAATCAAAATGTTTATATAAGGGCAGAGTAACAGTTTATTACAGATTTACTGATTATTTCTGAGTTGGTACCATACACGATTTTTAGATTGTCATAAAGCTGTGCCAACCTCATATCCCTTTTTGCAATATCATAATTTTTTCCGTTAAATAGTTACACTACTTAAAAGTGGTCATATCAGTGACGAATTTTTATTACACCTAGAAGGGTGCCACTACTTTTGGTCCATTCAACATGCTAGCATCATTTGTAGAGGTCTATGAGCCCTCATTTAGTTTTCTATATATTTAAATGACAGAGAAAACATTTAACTATTCGATTTATTCACATTCCTTTCCCATCATTCGACTAGCAATTAATCTTCATCAGCGAAGTTAAATACCACACTTAATTACTAAGATAAGAAGTGGTCTTTTGTTTTCGACCCAAGCAAACATTTATGGGCATCAAACTAAATCGTCACATTATTGGTTGGAAAGTGTAGATTAGCTATATAGTTGTATCTGTTGGTTGTGATTTGTGTGTTCAATTATCTTTGCATATAAGGTGTTGTTTTTCATACCTAGTCATTGTTTTCGCTTATATTTTTTCTGGGTTTCTTATTCATTCTACTATTTACAATTCTGTTTAGTTGAATATAGTTAACAGTCTGTGTATCTTTAAAAAAGCTATTATATTATTTGTTAAAACGTAGTGTTCATGTTGAAATATATTAAATCTGTTGTATTTTCCAACGATATATATATATTTTCACAAACACTAACAGCTATCCACGTCTGTAGATTTCGTCACGAAACAGTATCAGTGAGAGATAGGTGAAAACCATGGAGCACTGCACAGCTGTTTCGTACTAGTTTGAGACAGTTCGATGGTACACGCCCGTGACCCAACCAAGGGTCGAACTGGTTGAAGTGACAAAGTTAGAATCCACGGGTCATTGAATTACCGACCAGGTGACTGACTGAATGGTCACCTAGAATAGTGCTGTAACTTAAAGGTCTCGGATTCGATCGCTGACTGAGTCGTGGGTTTGTACTGCTGAAGGGTCCCACCCAGGACGAAAGGTTGTCAAGTGCCTCTTGGTTTTCAATGATCCCTCTAATCGATGTGTTTCTGTGACGAAGTCTACGTTGAAATTAGTCTGTATCCTTACTAAAGCCCATCATCTAGTTACTTATCAGGTTATAATACTGCGAAGCGTAAGTGTTTAAGGCAAAGCGAACTGGTTATATTTCACAGTTAATTTGAATAGAATAAATTCTTTTCCTTTTGTGTGTATGGCATACAATTGTTATGTAATTAATAAAACTGGTTAACGTGCTTTGTTGATTTTAAATCAAATGATTTGATCAGCAAAGAATAAATACATCAATCCCAATGCAATGCCTTGGTCTACACATTGCAACAATAAATAATCAGTTTTCACGAATAAATTTTACACAGCGGAATCTCTCTCTCTCTCTCTTTGTACATTTCTATGTCTATTAATTGAGTTTCTAGCATCCTACTACCAAAATCTTTTTCATCTAATTTGTATCATATGTACATCCTGTGTTTTGTCTTCTGGATAGGTCAGTCATATGTTAGATTTCTCTCTCCGTTTATATATATATATATATATATATGCTGGACTTATAAAGCATATTTCATTTTCTGTTTGACCACGTGCTTCATAAACATTATAATTGAAAGCTCAAAAAGCATATATCAATTTTTATTCTTTTATCAAGTGTATCGCGCTTATAGTTCATTGTAGTTAAATATGGCAAAACTGTACTAAATACAAAATCCAGAAAATTTTATTCTCCGCTATTCTGTACTTTGATTGTACTGCACTATATTCATACTACTGATTAGTCAATTTGATGGATAAACATTTTTATTGAGATTAGTGACTGCTATGACAACTGGCATCCTTTTTATATTTTGATTAGCAAAAAAAATCAGAATGAGTAAAAATTATTCACATACTGAATTTGTGGTGAATTCGACTAATCAAAGCAAGTGATTCAGCGAAGTGATTTTGAAATTATTATCAATCTGTACAATCGTGCATATATATATATACAGCTTGAGGATAAATTCGTTTGAAAGTGACTTTTCTCTGAATCACTTGTTTCAACTTCCTGCATGTCCTAATGAGAATTTCTCATGGATTAAACTAATCTCTCTGTGGATGTCATCATGCGCTGACATTTAGTTAGATAATTGTGATTAAACCAGGGGACACTAGACAACTATTTCATGTTGATTATCGATTATTCAACAGTGTTCACACTCGTTCTCATTAGTGTCTGTAACTATTGGGTCTACCAGTTTGTGTATTATGTTTAGAGAAATTCTCACTGATGATGTTGAGATCCCAGTAGTACTGTAACACAAATTAACGAAATCGCGACATTGAAAATAGGTACTCATACATAAACTTGTCGTATATCTATGAAAGTTTTGTTATTTGTGTTTATTTTCATTGCTTTGCTAATCGTTTATTTCATTTAACTTCTTCAGAGATTATATTTCGTATCATGGCTTCTACATGAGACCGCCAACAGATTATCAGGATAATCAACAGTAAGTTATATATGCCTTATGTAGTTGTGTCTGTTTTCTTTTGCTCATGTTTTATATTCACCAGTCTTGGATACATTCTACACGTGATTGCTCATCGACCGGTTTTCAGTTGGCTTTTCTGATAACTTAATAACTAGCTGTATATCACTTTATTACGGAATAACCTTTTCTTATAAGATTTATTCGAATGGATTCAAACGAGAACAAGGTTACTTAAAACCTGTCCTGCTAAAATAATTCTTGAGTTTTCTCATGTAGACAAATTCAGCAATATTTATGAGATAAAAAGTTCCACAGTTTGGCTTTTCAGCTTATGTAGGAAAAATTTAGTAATTTAAGACACACCAGAATAATTAGTACTTAAAAGCGTTGTTCTGTCTGCATTAACTGTGATTTATCCTTAAATTAAGTAAGTTTTCTGAAATTTCTAAGTTAATAAAAAAATCCATTCGGGTCTAGAAAGTACGACTAGATGTGCTATAATCTTTATTACCTTTATGTCCGACAGTTTATGCTGTAGCTATGAAAAGATTTCAATATAGCCTGTGCGTTAGTATTGTCATTCTCTTCCTCTTTCCTCTGATTATTGATTACCTCTTTAGCTGATTTAATGGAAGGAATTGTTCTGTCTCTGAATACTTTATTTTTTCCAGAAATCTAATAGTCATTTGGATGTATTCTTACAAAACACTGTCACTATAGAAATTTTACTTATTTGTCATTGTATGTTATGTGTATATATACATGTGTGTATGTGTGTGTGTGTGTGTAACAGATCATGCATATCAAGATGAAATGAAAATAGTCTTAGTTAAATAATCGATAATTACGTCGTGGTCATTTGTTTTTGTTTTTACTGTTTAAATGTCAAGTAATTTCAAAATCAAACTTTTGTTAACTGTTAGTTGACATTTTCAGGTTTGTGTATATTTTACGTACATTAGTAGTGATATAATAATATACTAAAAATTGGGAAGTGCTGAAAAATCTGGTTTACATTGGGTAGTCTCTCTTGAATGCAACGTATCAACAGTCTATCTGATTGTTTTCATTGCAGTCTTTATTTCATGTAAACTCCTTTGATACCAACAGTAAAAAAAAAGAATTAAGGTTAGCGTACTAACTGAAGAAGTACTTACAGCTTTTTACAGGAATGTATCACTCACGGTTGTCACAATAGAGGTAAAAGAAATAACAACACACAAACACGACTGCGACAGTGACAATGATTAGAGGGAAACTAGTAAGGATTTTCAGGATTTGGAAAAATGAATACACCTGCAAAATTGTGAACAAGTTCGAAACATCTCTCCAAAAGTCTACAAACATTTTTCCGGCATCGTGAGAATTACAGCCAAGAAGTCCACACCTTATGTGGCTCACACTAACAGAGTTGACGCCATGTTTTACTCTATCCACTTCTACCTCTTTTCCAACATGACCATAATTCAACAGATAATGCTCGTTGCTCGTCAATAGGTGAAACGTGCAATAGCCACCGCATTTGGCATTTCCATCGAGTGACTTTCCTTACTGCACACACTATACCTAATTCCTTATTACTAACCATATCACGCCGCCTAACACAGGATGTTGTACGAGAGCATCTGTGAACTCCGTAGTTGACGAGTAACAAGTAGTGCCGATACTTTTCTGTTTCTTCCGCTTTTAGTTGGTAAGAACTTCAGTGAGGAAATTTTCCGTGAGATTTAGAATAGTAGCTTGATTTTTAGCAAGTAGTTTCTCAACTCGAATACCATCCTACCAACGAGACCCAGAGGACTGTGTAGTATCACAGGCCGACCTTCGCTCAGCAAGTACTGTTGTTAGTCTTTTCGTAGTAAATCAAATATAACTTTTGAATAAGTGAGGGAAGCAAGCAGATAAATCTGGAGTGTGGTTAATGGTTGGAGGAAGTTTGTGTCTGTCTGCTTCTCCTTTTATTCCCTATAGCAAGAAAGAAGCATCTGTTTCCTAGTCTTTCGAGAAGAAACTACTGTCTACAATAAAGTGGTTATTATTATAATCACATTATCATCTGCAGTAGCTTATAGTGCAAGCGAATTACTCTATGTTATTATAACTGCTGCTACTCTGATTGTTTTCCACATGACACGTGACATATTAAAGCCTACAGAAACATTTTTGCAGCCATTATCGGTTATTCTTCCATTGAGGTATGCAAGCAGCTATCGATCAAGTTATAGTATCTTATGAAAAACCGACACATTCCTTGTATCTCTCGTGAACTATCTTTTAAATGCACTACTTGCCAGTCTTTCGAAAAGTAGCGAATATATTTATGATATTTTCTGTAATTACTCACGATTGTATATTTACTTTTTTATAATACTTTCATACGTATAAGTGGATATTTACTCGTTTCCATAACTTAACATTGACTACTGCTCGTTAACTACCTTACATTCGTCAACCTTTAGTTATTTTTGAAGGAGAATGGTTGATACGCCGTCTAATTTTCATAAATTCACTTAACCAACTATTTGCACACAACTGCTGTGTGCGAGCTAGTGTTACTCCCGTCTATCCAAAAATCGATAAGTGGGGCGGGATTTTGAACATGTTACCCACTTGTTGGTAGACTAGTGGACCAAAATTCCACTGACAGTGAATTAATTCGGCGTATTAGTTAAATTATGTTAGTTTCTTCAATCCGAAATTGATGTTAGAGTAATTTCTCTATTAGGTTTAATGGAAATGTTAAACTGTGAAAACTTTAGGCTATCGGCTGTTTGCAACTTTAGTGGATTATGTAAATGTGAACAGGTGGTTTCTCTTATAGCGGTTTCGTTGTTAACAAGGCAGTTTCATTATTGTCACGTGATTTTTGATTTGTCCGTCGTGTGAAGAGGAGATAGAAATACATCACTTCTACGTCGAATAATTTTTTAGATTAAATTATCCAGGTATGTTATGTTAATGCGAAATGGCGTAGTAATGCTAAGGTTAGCTGAAACTCGTTGCTCTACATAGCACTCAAGATACGTTTGCTGTACTTCAAAAATAGTATGTATAATACATTTTAGGTTTATCTCTGGAGTTTGAGTGGTGTGTGCGTGTGTAAAAATTCTTCAGTAGTAGTTGTTGTTGTAGTGAGTAGTATACAATATTCAATGAGACCATGAGATAACTATGGTCTCATTGTAAGTTAACCTTAGACTGACATTTTAGGTGAAATGGAACCTCTTCTGTGCCAAGGGTGGTTGTGGCATGTTTTCTCAGTGATTAAAAAAAGTTATTGGTCTATTTTTTGTGTGCTTTCCATTTTCTCTCATGAACCGGTTTTGATTGATTATCGCATACCTTTATTTATTTATCAATCTGGTCGATACACTTATTATTTATATATCATTGTCAATGTGTATATATGTATGTATATGAATACAATAATTATTCAATTTATTTTGAGGACTTCTGTTTATAAATAAATAAATATTAAATGTGTTTATTTACAAATAACGTCCATGTAGTAAGTGTACACATACACACACACACACACCATACTCCCATGTAAACTTCACATTAACACATTGTCGATAATTTTTGTACGTTATTATTTATTGACATATTATCAATTCATTCTGTTCATATTGTCTTATTATTCCTATTTTCAATGAAGGAAACCCCGAAACAAATCTCGTAAACATAAAGGTATGATGAATTAGTCATAATAATAACAATTATCATTATTATTATCATGATATTTCTGTTTCCCTTAATTGTACCGTGGTATTTAAGTGTTTGTGTTTGCGTTTTCTTTTTTTTATCTAAATGTGCATGCTGTTTGTTGTATTCAACTGGGAGAGAATGAATTTTTAAACAATATTTAGTCTAACTATATACGTTGTGTATATCTGTAGATGTGTTTTTAGAAGTGTGTGTGCGTGTGTTTGTTTGTGCTTCTTTTTCACCCATATTTGTTGTCGCTAGTTTTTTTGTCCTCAAAAGTGAGGGGAAAAAAGGGACTGTTTTCGACTATCATTGTCTATCGATTTTCAAACAGTTTGTCTTTATCACTTTCATTAAAGTAGCCTTAAATATGTTTTCATATCTTTCAAACACGTTTGTCTACCATTCTTCTGGATTAAGTATATCTGTTTACTCTGGAACACGAATATTCGTAACTATAGCTATAATTCTCCGTAGTGCTATTAACCATTCAACTAAACGGTTATGATGATGGTTTTCTTAAATACTGTATAACTTAGAAAACTCTGCTAACCCGTGCATTGATTTTATTGATCATCCCTATATCATGACACATACATATATATATTTCTTACTTTCATTTTTCATACCATCATATTCCTTCAGATATGTTGACTACTCATCAAATGTAATCTGGTAGGCGGCATTATCTTGTCACGAAAGCGTGTGGGCAATCGTGGAGCCAGCTAAAGGAGGACTTCAGAGGACAGAATGAAATAGAGATAGGCTGTTAAAGCCCTATGCCCCAATCGGAACCCCAGGGAATAATGATATCTTGTCACAGATAACACAAGAGCACTGTTTGGCTCTTTTGAACTTTTGAAGATTATTGCACGAAATAAAATATCGGATTAACTTCAGAAATTATTATACTTCCGTAAAACACATCACAGAATGCGCCATTAGTGAAAGTATTTAGCCATTATTGTCTTCATTTTTTTGTTGGTAGAATCACTATATGACCTCTTAGTATAAGGTTTTAAGTGCGACAAATAAATTGGTTGATATGGATCATGAATGTCTCACTCTTTTCTTTTGATCACTGGACACATCACGTACATGCCTCCCCCAATGTCTGCTTTGAACTATTTTGGAAGACAATTAAAAGTCTGATCAGTCCATGAGATCATTGACTGTTGACGTGAAGTGTGTTGAGAAGCACACTTAATTCTTTTGGGGTTCATGTAACAACTACAACCTATGATTAGTGACTAAATAATATGAATCACAATCCACCTGAGAGGCTATAACCATAACTTTCATCCTTTTCTGTCTTATGGCGTTTTACTTACTATTGATGACTCATCTGCACATTTTTTTGCGTCTAATTTATACTTCTGTTTACTTGATGTTTACACCTAGAATGTTACACCTACATCACTAAGATAATAATGTCCATCAATTGCTTCATCTGTAAGATTGAGATATGACCTGAATAGTTGTTCTTTATGTTTCTTCTCAAAAATATAAATAATCGATAATAACAGCCTACACAATCTTGACATGCAGGCGATATGTCATAAAGTATTATGGTCAATGCAATACTTATACCCTGGTGATAATAACTGTGAATACATTACAGTTGATTTCGAATCATATTACTGAATCTTAAATCATCAGGATTGTGTATTGACGAATGCATACTTTAAGTGTAGGAAGTGAAACATGACACTTTCAACAAAAAATCTACTTAAATTTCTTCATCTCGTTTTATTTTGCGCTTATTTCCCTTTTTGCAAATTCCTTTAAGTATTTACTTAGTTTATGTAGTTTGCAATTTTCACTGTCTATATTTTGAAAGACCGTATAACTGAATACCGCATGGATTTGTGCGCTTATTTGTGTGTGTGTGTGTTCACTAATTGTTATGACGAGTATTTTTACGATAAACCTTGCCATATACAGAAGATGTTTTAGTGCCTTTGACCAATTTTAGTCGCCGTAATCTATGTTTTCTATGCCATCTTGGAGTTTGAAACAGTATATTCCATGAGAATATTTCCGTCTGTGTGTTCAAAAGATTGTCACGGTTTTCTGAGATTCCCAAAAGTGGAAACCTGTCTGATTAACCTCTGTCTAACCGAATCTTTTACAGTATTATGTTACTTGAACATTACCAAAATCTAAGTAGTTTCGTAGACAACACCGATTCATTTCGAACGTTAACACTGTGAAATGCCTTTTCTACTGCTCCTTCACATATGTTTTCGCAGTCTTCCTGATCACTATAGGTTGAGCAAGTCGTTGAGTGATAGTATTATTAATTGGCTTCTTTTTGAAGATACTTCTGAGTGATTTTTCCTACTTAATTTGAAGCGTCTAATATTTATGTGATCTTAACAACATCTTATGTATCAGTATTTGACTTTTAAATTTCTCCACGTCTGTTTGTAGGTTAAGGTAATTCCGGAAATTGAATTTGTCACGTATCATTTAATACATATACGTATGTATATATATTCTATTCTGCGTAGGATAGAAATATCTCAGCGTTTAGCTATGTGCAATAGCTCTGTGAATAAGGGTGGAAGCTTTGCGGAGATAATCTCATAACACTTCACTAAAGGACGGATCTAGTCATTGATAATAATGGTGTTTTGGACTACTCATATGTTTTCTTATCCTTGTCATAACTATCCTGAGTATTTTTTTTTGGAATGATTTCCAAACTCTTATCCTTCTTAAGATGACCATGCAGAATTTCCTGGATTCATCGCCTTGTGATATCCCTGTTAGCACTACGTTTCTTGATTGTTTTTTGTCTTTTTAATCCGTATTGTGCACCATTTTCAAGAACATATATATTCATTTAAGTATTATCTGTATGCTCTGACTTTAACCTTTACTATTTTTCACCTCTTTCATCCCCGTGTCACCTATGCAAATCTATCAACATACGCGTAAATGTAGTTTTAACATATTTCGCACTATTCACTAAGTTCTTCACCGAAAAATATATATATATTTTTAAATAATTATAAAGTCATTTACATTTTTTATCATCTGTACACAGGTTATGTGGCTGTTCCGAATCCAGGGGCTTAAAAGGTAGACTGTCTAGTTTCGCGAAATCCATAATAAGTTAACTTATTTTTCACTTAGTTTTTGGTGTCTGTTACTACTGCTGCCCATACACATTCACACTTTCTTCTCATACCTTTATAATTCTTCTTTTGATAGTTGATAAAATCATCACCTTGTCAGATAACTACTAACTGCTATTTTCCCGGGGCTGTTTAACTTGTGTGATGTGCTTTCTCCTCACCATATTTGCGTGTGTGTGTGTGTGCTTTTGAGTAGTTGATTGCATTAACCATTGCTAAGGTATTTATTATCTCAAGCTGTGCTATCCTGCAAAAGCTTTCACGTTATTTCCTTCCCAGTTGTTTTTATGACTGTATTTTTTCCTAAATCTTTTGGTCTAGGATATTTTTTTCCAGTGCCATAGTTTGGTTGTTGTTTTTTTTTTGCTTTACTCCGCCGTTATTAACCTTATCAGGTTATCAGAAAAATTGGAAGATATGTACAACTGTTTTACAGTTAATAAAACTAAGTAACTCTCCAGTCTCCGGTAGATCGCTTAATTCTTTTCTGAAGAGAAATGTGAGAGAGGGAAAGAAATCAGTGGGTCATGTCAAATTATTCATCCTCTTACATATGTCACTATGACTTGGTTATATCTGCTGCTGTTGCTAATTGTCATATGCTCTGGCGCTATGAATTCTCGCTACTATTGTGTACACTTTATGTATTGCAGAATAATTAGCTCAACACACTAATACTGATTATATATTATTGCAAAAAAATATTTATTCAGTCGTGGATTAGTTGTATTCTAAACATTGAAAATTCTAAACGGATTCGAAGTTTAGTCAACTTGGAGTATATTTTTATCAGCATGTTTGGAATTTATTCTCAGGCATTGTGAGGAAGTTGTCATTGAAATTATGCTAATTTAGTATGATTGGTTTAGGCTTGTGAATATTTAAAATCATATTTCATGATTTTATAAACGTGTGTGTGTGTGTTATGCGCAGCTATTGTGTTCAATAAGTGATGAAATAATTTAGCAAGAACTTTGCATCTATGAAATGTCAGTAATTTAGTAGATGGTTAATACTATATATATATATATATATATATATATATATATATATATACATTGACTGATAGAATCCAGTCTGCACCAAAGAAAGAACGAGACACATCGCACTAGTTACTACTGTCCAATCAAAATATCCACTACAGTCCTACAGGAGGTCAATCGCGATCCCGAATAGCTCAGTGGTAACGTCTCTGACTGCAGTTCTCACTGAGTGACATGGGTTCGAATCTCAGAAGGGACATGAGTTCCTGGAAGGTTGCAGATACGCCTTGCTGACTAGTAAGTGCTAACTAGCACGCAACCTGTGTGCAAGGCGTCCTGGTGATTGCTTTCAACCATCTAATATCATCCAATCAATGTGCACCGTGATGGCGGGTTACCTAGAATGGTGGCCACATTACAAACCTGACTGACAGAATTCAGGCTGCACCAAACAGCAAGGGCTAGACTAGACACACAACACTAGTTACTAGTATCCAGTCTAAATGTGTAAACTCACTGAAAATGACAATCAGTTCAATTTAATGACTCAGTAGAAGTATATGTACTAGGTTATATACAGGATGCGGGGATACGATTGACTAAGCCCTGTCAGCAGTTGAAGCATATCCCTAAACACGTTGTCTTTATTGTTATTCTAGGTTTTATTTACCACTACACCATTTTGTACACAAACCTGTTGTCATTTTTGGAGTATTCAGTGTTGGAATATTTCTGTTCGATAAAGGTAAACAATTCACCGTGCCACTAATTTCATGGATGCTAGTTTTAGCGTCATATTGTGTTTTTGAAAAAAAATTCTACTGTAGCTGTTTGTGTAAATATCCTATTCGCGGAAAAACAGACCGTGTGCTTTCTCCTACTTTCACGCTATCTTCTCAATAAAAAAATTTGTGTTAAGCTGTTTCATTTTACAAAATAATTATCTTAGCATTAAAATTCAGTGTTCTAACTTCAAAAACTTAGGCTGCTACACACTATTCTCTAAACAATATGAAATGTAAGGATTGACAATTAACTGATTACCTAACTCTGAGGGTGTGGTGGGAAAAGAAAGTTCCATTGAACTTTGATTAGGCTAATTGAAATTGGAGTCGTACTGTCGCAGCAGTTCTAATCTATTAGCAAAGTAAATAATTGAGTGGGGGGGGGGGCGCGAAACAAACAGATACATTAGTTTGTGAAAAGTTGCAGACAAAAGTACTGATTTTGGTTTTTGCTGTCACTTACCAACAAACAAACAACCATAAGTTCACTCTAATATTGCATCCGGCATTATTTACATTTCCTATTTTTTCTTTTTGATATGTCATTATTGCCTTCTCCCCACTCAGGATTTACACTGCAACTTCAATATTTCTGTATGTAACATATTGGTCAGTTTGATTAACTCTGCCAGAGTTAATTGCAGCCTAATCTATTGTTTTTAATTAGTAAAAATTGTCAGTAAAATAAAGAAATACCTATATGCATTGTATTTTCTTTAATGGATGCAATTAAATACAACTTGCATTTTACCTTTGGTGTGTACTGATGAAATAGTCTCACTATTACTAATCGCATGCATTTCTGTTATCCAACTTCATATGCTGATCTGGACGTGATCTAATTCACTAATTCGTCATTTTATTCAACTTACATAGTGGGCTAAAAAAGAAAAAAACACGTCAAGGACAGACAAACAATATATATATATGTCTTGTAAATTTAGAGTGGTTCGACTAATTTAACATGAAAATTTATCTAAAACTTAATCACATTACTGCAAATAACAAATTGACATAATTATGTCTTTATACAACACACTGGATGTTCTCATTCAGTATTTAATCAAATTTATATTAGGTGTTAGTGTAAATCTACAAAGCGTAAGCATGTTATATGCGGGGCAATCAGTTTGATAATTCAAACTATGTCAGACCAATGAGTTACTCATTAAAAAAAATAATAAAAGAACAGTTGTGTGCCGTCTCTGTCATTTAACTTAAAAGTTCCGTCTCTATTCTTTTTTTTTTCTAGTATAATTTTACTTGTTTCTATAGTTTAAAACTGTGCTTTTCATATAGCTTCAAATTCTGACTAAATAAAGGAGTTATGCTCAGAAATGACAAATGCGTCAGAATTGAGCATAGTGATTTTATGCATTTAACTAACAACCTGAACTTACACGTTTGTCTTTAATTAGTTCAGGTTGACTGCACTTTAGTTTTTGTTCGTTTTGTTTTCATGGCATAACTGATTTAGGTATTTATATTTTTGCATCATTTCACAGAAATACATCCAAGGGGGTCACGTTATTGTTCTGTTTTTACAAATTATATATAGAGAGAGATTTGTCATGATCTTTTCCCCCTACAGTTTGCCTTTCCACCTATTTAAGCGAAATAAAACATCTGAAATAATAATAATAATAGTGTTTTATGCACCGTAATCAAGTTGTACTGTGATGCTAATTTAAAACACATACACATATACACGGCTTCTAAAGAAGAATATTTTCTGTTGAAATGTAAGAGAAAGTCAGCGATATCTGATAATGTTTCGGTAAGCAGTGTAAGTATTCTAAACGATATCCTTATTTTAAAACATTCTTGTTTATTCCAAATCACTTTGTATGTTTTGTTTTTTAATCGTGAATGAATTCTTTATTTTGTAGCAAAGAGTCAATCCAATGGATCTAGTACACGAAATGCTCAACCGCGTTATCATCAAGTGTCTGTTTATCCATATGATGCTTATGAGTAGTAAAGGACAAATAAATTATTTTAGAAAAAAATCAACTCATATATATATATATATATATGATATGCAGTATGTGTATATTAAACCGAAGCAATTTTCGCTTTTCCTTAATTTCCAAACCTAATTGTCATTTGATAAACCAACTGCTTTTCCCTATGATAACAATCATTATTGTCATCACTCCTCACATTTTCGTTTTTACCTGTCTATCTGTCTAACTAATCACAATATGCAGATTTTTATTCAACTTTTTTGTGTATTATATTTCGCTGAAATACTTGGATTTTAAACCTTGCTAAGCCACCCTCCCCGCATTTTTTTGTCAAAAATTTACTACAATTTCTTTTATAACCGCTTCTTGTCTTTGTTTTTACCTAGCTGTGGTACAAATCCATGGTATTTGTGTTGTTGTTTTTTGATCCTAGGAATATAATTTTTCTTGTTGTGATCAGCTCCTTGTTCTTTTGATATAGCCGAGAAGAGATTCGTATATTCTAATCTTCATCTGTCTCTATCTGCATAGTAATTATGTCATGCTTTCCTTTTGTCCTTATTGGATTTGTATAACTCTCAATGTCTCTCTACATACATACACACACACACACAAACATATGTTGATTTTATTCCAATGTTAACTGTTAGGCTTTTTGGGTGTTCTGCATTGGTCATTTTCCGTATTTTATTGCATATATATATATATATGTTCGCATTCCCTCTAGTTTATGCCCACTGATATGTGTGAAAATTTAACTTACACTTTCTTTTTATTACCTTAATTTGAATAAAACCTAGTTGTGTACTCACACACACACACTATGGTTTCTTATGTATGTATGTTGTGGTGTTTTATTTCGTTTCGTTATACCACTGAAGAAACCGAAGACGACAGAAACTTTCAAGAATGCCCAATTAACTTTTGTATGCATGTATGTATGTATGTGTGTGTATGTCTGTGAATTTCCCTGTCTGTTTGTAATAATACCTGACAAAAAAGACAAAATTCGACACAGACGCACACACACACAAAATGACAGGGAATGAGGCGAATGAATCATTTAATCAAATCCATTCGAATAGTCTTGATAAATCCTTTTTTTCTTGCATACTCATTTTGGCTAAGGATCTTTGCTACCTAATTTTATTTATACACATATATGATCATATAATTCAATTTACTGTCTAATGATGTTTTCATGATTGTTTGATGAATGAGTAACATCTCATGTTGTTGTAATTCGCAATTACACTTTTTTTACGTTAATCACTTGTTTGATACTTTTTATCGTTAAAATGAATAAATAAAAATATTTATTATTTTGCATAGTTTTATGGGGAGAGAGGGAGAGATTATTCAGCTTTTTGGACTACAAAACTTGATTTGTGTAGGGAGTTCTCATCTACTCTGCAGTGTGCCGATATGATTTTAGACAATGCAACGGAAAAAGAAATTTGTTTGTTGACGAAACCATCTTCGTAGGTTGTATGAAAAAGGAATAGTGGTCTACTATTAGGTAATACGGGGATTCACATAATTGGTACAGTTACTCATAGGTGGTTTCTGAACTGATGAACTGGAGAGACTTAGACAAGTTCTAATTCAAAATGGATATCCTACAAGAGTCATCAAACGAAAACGTGAAAGGTAAGGTAGGATTCAGGTGGCACTGACGAAACTGCTGTTTATGTGAATGTTCGATTTAAAGTTGATACCCCAGCTGAGATTCTGAAGAACCGCTTATCCATGTCGCTAAGAAGTTTTCCTTTAGACTGAGTTACGGATCAATTTCTACAGTCGACAAATGATGTGTGAAAGACAAACTACCACTCTGAGCCACTCCAATGTGTGTTTATAAATTCACTCGCTACTGTAGAACTACTTATATTGAGCTCACAAGGCACACATTTTCCAAACATATCTCCGAACATTATCCCACATTGTTAGTAAGACGAAAATCTAAGATAAATACTAGATCAGTTATCAAGCACCTGGTGAATCCAGGCTACGCAGCTCTACTAGAGTCGTCTTTTAAGATTATCTATGAGGTGAGACCGAATGGTACAAGGGGTGTTAAGTTTCGAACTTGTGTATGGCGAAGGCGCTGGCGATTCTTCAATACAACCCCAAACTCTGTGTGCAAAGATTCTTCAGTCTCTTATTTTACCATGGTCTTAGTGTCTTCCTAAACGGTCACATACATTTATAGTAATCAATCCACTGTTATCAAACTTAAATGTTCATTTTGTCACTCTCTTCACAACTGTTAAGTGGAAACACAACTGCAATGTTCAGAAACTTTCTGAACAACCGCATCTTTTCAATAAGCAGATCATGGTAGACCATTAGATATGCAGTGTTTCGGGTGCATCTACATCCCGAAAGATTAAGAAGCTTATGGAAGTAGCGAATTCAAATAATTACCCTTGGTCTATTGTCATACTGCAATAGCAAGTAAATTGCACTATCTGGCGTTCACCGCCGATATCTTGGTAGTGAAACTTCTGTAGACCACAGGATAAGCCGAATTACATGTCAAGGAATATACGAGTGACCACTGAGAGGTGGAACAGCACCACCTCCATACATCAGTATTAATGCTTCCCAAGACAAAAGTAGCTGATATTAGCTTGCTGGCAGCATGAGAAAAACTGAGTAAGGCCTTGACTACTGATTCATGTAAATAGGACAGAAACAGTAGATACTGAATCCTACTGGTTACATCACACAACACTGAGCAAAAACGTGTCATTTGATGATGCAGTCATGTATGTGTGACACTGCAAACTGGGGTTTGTTCTAGGGTTGAACTTTTAGTATTAGCCAAATGCCCCTAGTCCATACGTTTTATTTTCGCTACTACGTCCAGAGGAGAAGAGCATGGATTGTTGCGTGTTCTAGCTTCTCTTCCCATCACGTATTCACATCCAATAATACTTCATAAATCACCATATTTGTTTGCGGAAAGATTGTAGACCGAGTCACGCATAACACGACATAATGATTTGATAGTCTTTAAAACAGTTAAATCGGAATTCGATAGAATACATGAAAGTGTGCTACTGGCTCACATTTTATTTATTTTATTTTATTCGTTTACGCTTCCAGTAGAACATTGGACTTCAAGCTAGGGCTTTGAAGTTTCGGTAGTAGTGGTGTTTATTTTTACGGGATGGGGTTGCTAACCTCATACCAAACCTTCCATATTTACAGGTCTTATTACTGGCTTAGCGAGATAAAGGAGTGCGTCGGTCGGAGATCGAAACTCGAACCACCTACATGGTTGACGAGGTTGCCATTGGCTCAAATAGCTTTAATTATATCAATTTATATTTCTAAGCGTCACAAGCTAGACTAAGACGTCAGCTGGTTGTGCTACTGGTGCATAGATGTACTCTGAATAATGGCCCTGCATTAATGGTCAACGTTATTTATAGTTAGGGCGAGCAATTATTAAAGTCTTTCAAGCAATTTGTGTAGTTGGTCTCCAAAAATTCATGAGCCTGGCTTGGTGTAGTTGACTCAATCCGCGTTTGTAATTCATCAGGTAATGTGATGAAATGGACTTTGTTTAGTGTGACGCAGTGATAGCTAGACTGGGGAAATCTCAACAGGATTAGCGATAATTATATGATAATTGACAAGGATTCTCGCCGTAAATATTACCGAATAAGCAGTACTATTTTACTATGGCATGTATTCAGCAAATAAACTGACATTGTATTCCATCCTAAGACAATGTCTCAGTTTTCTGTGTACCTACCAGATACAGCAGATAAAACTGCGAAAAAGTTTCATTTAAAAATGTTTGTTGAGTCAGGCTCCATTAATTTGATGAAAATGTCTACACGCAAGTGTTTATCTACGAGGTGAGTAGGATTCAGCGACAGGTGTTAATACATGCCAAATTGTGGCATAAACTGATGGTTGGTTGTAGAGAAGATATAAGTGTATATGAGGAAATATTTGTAAGGATGGGGGGTGGGGGCTGACGTACACCTGGTATTCTCTGACCGAATTGTGATTCGATAGTACGTAAATGATTATCTGTCGCTGATGTCCACCTAAGTCCTCTTCCACAGGCCCCTATCTAGCTAATTGTATTGGATGTTGTAAGAATGTTCTCCTGAAACAAGTAGCTGGACTGTACCTGGTTCGGCTGATGAAAGATGAATTCTTCCATTTGTGAAAACCTTCTTGAGTCAGGTCACTCAATCGCATGGGATTGAACCTTTGAAGTTATATGCAGGTCTAAATTCAGTCGCTATAAAAATTTATCTTTTTCCCAGTTATGTATAGCTAAGGCCCTAGCTATACATGGATGAAAAACAAAATTATGTAATGAGAACCGTTTTGTTAATACCCTTTCTTTACCTTGATCACAGTACTGTTCTTTTTATTTTATCGGTTTAATTCACTCAACTTCATATTATCTCCTTTTTTATTGTTATTATCACTGCACTTTTAATATTTGACAATACTTGACCTACTTTAATACCACTTCACTTATTCAATAATATTTTAAAGTTTTGTAATTAATTCACTACAATTCTACTCCTCAAAAATTATAAATTAATCATCTTAACTTTTTCTTATCATATGTAATATTGAAGAAAAAGAAAAAAATTTGCGCGAACAGTTGTTTTTTGAATAACTTCTGCAGGCTATACTCTTTTTTTATTTATGAAGATTAGAACACAATTACCAGTAAGGGTGGATCAGAATTATACTTGAAACTCGACTGGAGTACAAATACATTACGGAATAATAACATGTTAGTTTTTATTGCTGTCTGAATGAATATGAATATACGGCCATGAAAAACACTAGAGAAAATGCGAATAAACAGTTAGTTAATTGGCACACTCGTGTATTTATAATCAACAAACAGTTGTCCAGTACTTACTCGTTTCCTATGTCTCGCAAGCGGATGTCAATCTTTGATCAAACTTGAAACCAATCCAGTCCCTATAGCCTAACACTTGAAAAAAATATGTATAAGTTTCAA